CATCAAACACAGAAATAGACTAAACAGAGGTAATAATCACCATTTTTATCCAGGGACTGCAATACCAATGTTCGAGTTACTATATTCCTTGATAAACTGGAAATATCCTATCAAAAATAAGCTGGAAATATATTAAAGTCAAAAATGCATTTAATCCACCTAATCTACTGAGCACTAGAGTTTAGCAACGCAGTACACTGTAGAGTGCCAGCGGTTCCCCTCCTGATCATACAGCTGACTAGCTCTCAGAGTATTGTACCTCATATCACCAGCCTGGGAAAAGATCAAAATTCAAAATTTGAAGTATGGTTCCCACTGAATGTTTATCACTTTTGCATCATCATAAAGTCAAAAAAAATCACAAATCAAATCATGAATCAGGGACCATCTGCGTTCTGATATGAGATGTCCTGTTCTGTCACCAGGGAGTATGCTAGCTCTTTTTAAATATTTTATTTCTAGATCTCAAAACTGATCTTGCAAGTAAGTATCATGTGTTTTGCGGGAAGTTAATAGGACTGTTCAAGGGCACACTGGAGGGAGTAGAGCTGCGTGGCTTGTTGATTCTCCAGACATACAGCCCACCTCACAGCTCCCCTAAAGACTATGTAGGTCGGGCAGGCAGACAGGCAGGCCAGCACTTCCTCCAGATGCCAACATTTCTCAAGCACCAGCTCCAAGACAAACCCTGTGCAAAGTAATGAACACAAAAACGCTTCTTCCATACTGCCCAGAACAGGTATGTATCAGTTAGCTTTTGGTACATAACAAATGATCCCAAAGCTTACTGGCTTAATAAAGGTCCATTTATTATGGCTCCCAATTCTAGAAGGTGGTTGGGCAGTTTCTTCTAAACTTATTCATGCAGCTGTACTCACCTGACAGGTCAGCCATGCTGAAGGTCCAAGATGGCCTCAATCATGGGTCAGGCAGTTGGTGCTGACTGCCTGTGGGGATGTGCTGGTTCTCATCCAGGTACCCTCAAATCATCCAGTAGATTAGACACACTTCCTTATATATAGGGCGGAGTTACAAGGGGGCAAAAGCAAACACTGCGATGCCTCTTGAAATCAGTGATCCAGAATTTACATGCTGTTCAACTTTCTATTGGTCAAAGCATATCACAGGCTATTGCTTGGCCAGGATCTGTCATACATTTGGGGCCCACAAGTAAACCAGGGGTCAGTTGAGAATAAGCGTGAGGGGATCAGTTTGTGGACTACCCAAGTGCAATAAGTGCCCCGTAAGTCTTTAACTCAGAGGAGAGGCTGACTCGTGAGGTCATTAGCAAGGGTCATATCCTTTAACCCACAGAAAATGTGAGTAGAAATCAGTATATTATAAAACGGTTTTCATACCAAGAAACAGGCTTTTATTTGGCAGTACGGGGGATCAAACTCAGGACCCTGTGCTGGCCAGGCAGGCTCTCTGGCCACTGAGCTAAATGGCAGGCCACAGAAACAGGAATTCTTGCCCAAGGTCATAGAACAAGTCTGTGACAGAGCTAGGAGTGACTGAAGTCACTACCAACCAGCCCTCTCCTCCTTCCATTCCCCCTTATAAGGGAGCTTGAGCTGGGAATGGGCTGAGCTGGGGCATCTGGATAGCTATGCCTATGTTGTAAACTGAGCCCTTTCACCCCACCCGGCACCACAGGAGGCCCTTAATCACTATCTCATCCAGTTCCACCAGGACTGTCCCCACTTTACAAATGAGAAACTGAGGCCCAGAGGGAGCAGCTGACTCCCCCAGGGTCTCACAGCTGGTACAGTCTGTTTTCTGGGGTCTCCCATGCAGACGCAGAAAGAGCTGAACCCTGACACAGGTCCCAAGGGGCCTGCATCGGCAGCTGTATGGCTTCGTGGGCCTCAACCTGAAACTCACTGCTTCAGGAAGTCTTTCAGAAGCAAGGGCCAAGATCCTCTCAAATCACCTCTGCAAATGGGTGAGCGGTACCTTGGTCCATACCTGTACCATTTTACAGACAGAAAAATCAAGGCCAGACTCCCACACACACTTCACTGGGAAGCTGGTCAGACACACACAGGGTCACTTGGTGGCATTCAGAGAGCACATTTATTTACAAAGCGCTTTACAAACATTACTTTATGCCTCCCCACAGCCCCCTGTGAGGTAGGTCAGTAGTCATATCTACAGTTTACAGATGGGGAAATTGAGGCACGAAATGGGGGTGTGGCCTGCCCCACTTTAAAGAGACCTTCCCACCCACCCGTCAAAATAACAAAATAAACAGAAGCACTGATCCTCCATCCCAGAGTTGAGCTCTGGGGGCTGGGACCAGCCCTGCTCTAGCACTGCCCTCTCCCCAATAGGCAGCCTGACCAGGAGCCATCGGATCCCAACCCCAGGGATGCTGGTTCAACCTCACAGATTATCACTGGTCCAAACTGAGCAGAACCAACCCACAGAGGCCTCAAGGCTATGGGAAGAGAGGACTGAGGTGACTTCATTCTGCAGACACTGGTTCAGGCAGGGAAGGAACCCCACATGAGGCATGGAAGGCATGGGCAGATCCTGGTTCCAGGAAGTTCAGAGCACAATATCAGAAGCAGAAGTGGGGAGGGACGGTGAGCAAAACACCCCAGGGGCTGCAGGAGGCAGTGGGGTGGAGGAGGGTGCTGCAGACCCCCCCGAAGACGGTGGTCGGTGTGTCCCACAGGCAAATCAGGACAGAGTCCAGCCTGCCCAGAACCCTCAGGGGCCAGACGCCAAGCCTCAGTGTACCCTCCACACAAGTGTAGAAGGGGCCATGCTGGGCAGAAACCTTGGCCTAGGATACTCTCTCTGCAAGGCCCCACTCATTTCTACCAATGGCTAGGATAGTCAGAGGCTTGGCCTGAGTCCCCCAGAGCTGGCCCTTCTGAGCTGCTGTCACTGTGCCTATAGGACCCTCTGGAGGTGGGGCTGGGCTGCAGGTCTTGCTAAGCTCCTCCTTGGCCACAGCTTGCCCGTGGACGTAGTGAAAGGCTCTGCCCACAGTGGAAGGGGCCACGAAGATGGCCCAGCACCCACTCCAGAGCTTTCCCCATGAAGCTATGGCTGAGCAGATTTGGGGGCACAGGTCCTCCTCTCCAGCTGAGTATGGTGGGCCTGGCCCGAGTGCACAGTGGGTGCCCCAGGCCAGGGCTCCGCTATCTTGACTCCAGCCCCTCCAGGTACTCCAGGGCCACATCATAGCAAAAGTGGTACTGATCCTGGGGAGGAGAGAAGGGCTCATGAGCCTCACCTGGCCTCGCGCTGGGGAGAGGGCAAGCATGCACCCTGGCCTGCTCTGGGGACAAGGGAGCAATGGGAGAAATGTTCCGGCACCACGGGACTAGAACCAAGGCGCACAGGTGGAGGAGAGCAGTTAAGGGAAGTGAGGGCAGAGAAGCCTGGCCTGCTATGGACCAGGAAGGACCTCACCATGGTCTCCACCATGTTGGGCTTGTAGTTCCGGAGGGTTTTGGCAGCAAAGAAAACATCCACCAGGCTGTGGCATCGGATCATCTCCAGGACCGTGGCGCAGGCGCAGAAGGTGCCGCTGCGGCCACCCCCGTTTCTAAAAGACACACAAGGTTTGTTAAGAGGCTTGGAGGTGGAGCCTGGGAAAGCAGAGGTGAAGGGCGGGGCCAGGCAAACAAAAGGAGGGGGAGGGGGAGGGTCTGAGAGCTCACCGCTGAGGGGCGGGGTAAGGGGACTGAGAGGGGAGGAGCCAAACGGCCAGAGGCAAAGAGCGAGCTAGAGAACCAAGCAGGGAGGAGCCAAAGGTTCAGGGGAGAGGGGCGGGGCAGGGTAGGTAGCTGGGGTGAGGGGTGGAGCCAGGGAACCGAGAAGGGAGAGGCGAGGCCCAAAGAACAGCAGCAAGACCAGGATAGAGGGCCCTCAGAGACAGATTGGCATCCAAACCCTTATACCATCGCAGAAGACATGTCCTCAAAGAGGAACATATTGTGGATTCAGAGAGAAAGAAGGCCAGACACGCCAAAAAAAGACACAGGGATGGCGACAGAGAAGGGCAGCAGAGCAGTGGGCAAACACGGGGAACAAGACAGAAAATGAATCCTGGCAAGACCAACCACCGCAGCTGGGCGCGACCATACAAGGGGCACAAACACACACACTGGGCAAACGGCAGCCCCCCATTAGAGATCCCTGCCTCCTCTCTCTGCATCGCCCTCTGTTCCTGCGACTCCACATGTGGGGACCCCCTTGGGGGATGGGAGACCATAGAGTCCGTCAGTCCTTCTCCAGAGGTCCCTCTCCCTAGAACTGAAAGCCCTGAGAGCCAGCCTGGACTCTACTTTGTGGGGGGCCCAGCCCGGCACTACGAAGCCTGAAAACTGGGGAGCAAGAGAGTGACTGCACCCAGACACAGGGTTTATATAAATGGAACATGGATATGAATTAATTAATTAATTAAAACAATGCATATGTGCATAAGCAAAGACTAGAATTCGACTGGCATAAAAAAGGGCTACAATCTCATGGTGAGAAATTCTGACAAAAGACTCTTTTTAATTAAACTGGTGAAGTCAAACATCACGCAGAGGAGGCTGGGCAGTTGTCCAGGCTTGATTTTATACCCTAGAAGCTGACTGGTTTGCTCCAGGGAAGGCAGGACCAGCTTGGGCTGGCTGGAGAGGCTCTGGCAGTCCCAGGATTTTGGTGCCAGTCTTGAGGCCCTCCCTCAGACTGGACCTCTGTCCTGCTCCCCAACCTCTCCTTCATGTTCCCATAAGACAAGCACTCACAGGCAGTGCACAACGGTGCGCCCATCCCCGCTCTCCGCCTGCCACTTGTCCACCTCAGCCAGCAGGTGCAGGAAAGCCTTCTTGGAGTCAGGCGTGTCCCGATAGGCAGACCAGCGCAGGAACTGGAAGTGCCGCACCAGCAGGTGGCCCTCCTGCAGCTGGGGGCATGGGCAGCCAGCCAGGGAGGCGTGAGCATCAGGGGCACAGCACTAAATGGTGCTCCAGCCACCGCCCAGGCTCTCACCCTTGGGCTCCTCAGACCACTCACCCGAGAGATGTTCTGCACCCGGAAGACTCTGGCCACCAAGTCTTCATCTGCTGTTCCAGACACAAACTCCACCTCCATGAGGCCATACTGCTGCCGACCTGGCTCTGGCCAGTACTGCAGGCAGGGCTAGGGCATGGGCACAGACAGAGGAGCCTGGGTAGAGCCAGGCTGGGTTCCCCCATTCCCAGCACAGGGCTCCGCACCTGCCCTGTAGCTGCCATAGCTAGGCCCATGTTCACTCTCAGCCTCCCCTGCAGAGGCCCCCAATCCACCACTCACCATCAAACTGCCGGGCACACCTGCCTCAGTGAATTCTCATTAGCATGCTCAGATCTGGCGCACAAACCCTTCACAGTCAGCACAGTGAGCCACTCCTGTGTGGCTAGAAACCTATAGCTGAACATGCTCATGCTCACACATGTGAGGGTGCATTCGTGCACACACACAGCTGCATAAGGCTTCCTTCTCCCAGGGACAGACCTCGATCACCCATCCCAGGACCAGCTCCCCAGGCTCTCTATCACTGCCTCTGCATTTAGCACCATCTCAAACAAGCGGGGTAACCTAAGCCACAACACAGCTCAAGATCCCACTACTGTCCCAGACTCCATGGAGCCAGAGGACTACATACTTGGCCCTGCTAGGCCACAGACTGCTGACAGGGGAGGAGCAGAGGAGGTGCAGTCCCCCACCCACCAAAACACACATGTATACTCGGGTCCCCACTCCTGGGGTCCTCTTCCTGGAGTCCTGGCAAGGCCCTTTCTCTCCCAGGGCAGTTTTTTCCCCATGTGTAAAGTTAGGGTAAGTTGACTCATCTCCTTGAGCCTCAGTTTGCTTCTCTGCAAGATGGGGACCATCACGGGGCCCGTCTCATGGCGTTGTTGTGAGGCCCAGATGCATAAGGCTGATTTGCACTGTGCCGTGCCTGGCACACAGTAGGTGTTCAGTACATGGCAGGGACAAAGACGATGAAGACAGCCGTCACTTCTGAAGATAGAACCCAAACTCATTCCATAGGACACCATGCTCCACCTGCTTCTGTCTGAGGCCATGATGCCCTGAGGAAAGGACACTAACTTCCTCTTTTGCCCGGGGTTCTAGGAACTCCTTTGCACGAGTATATTCCATCACCTATCAGCCACTCTACCTCCACCTCTTTCCATATGAACTCTGCCCTTCCCACACATCTCAGCTCGGACACTACCTCCTCTAGGTAGCCCTCTTTGATGCATTATCATCTCCCAGGTCTCTCTGACTCTGTGTCAGCTCCACACTACCACTGTCGGTCCATAACTGCTTCCCCCTGGACCATGAGATCTAGGTAAGGCTGGATCCTCCCTCTCTCCCCATTGCCTCCAGCAGCGCCTGGCAGGGAGCAGTCCTTGGGAAAAGCTAGCTGACTGCACAAGCGGCGAGCAATGCCCATGGGCTCTCCCTCTGGGTCCCTGCCTCCACCTCAGCAAGGCTGGGCTTCTGCCACAGCTGGGACTCACTCCAGATCCCCACAGAGAGCCAAGAGCCCACCCTCTACATTCCCAGCTCACGTCACTGGGGCCTTACCCACGAAGAGCTCAGACTTCAAGGTCTCCTCCAGGCAGTCAGTAGAGCATCTTCCTAAGCCCCTGGGGCAGTGAGTGGGGCCATGAGGGGTCCCAAAACCTAAGCACGTGGTCAGGCAGGGCTGGGAGGCTGGGCCTCTGTCTTCCCAGGAGCTCCAACTGGAACAGGAATCAGAGGGGCTGTCCCCACGCTGAGCCAGCGTTTGGACCAACTTCAGAAGCTAAATGTGCTGCTGCTGGGAGGCAGGACTTGGTGAGGAGAGCGAGTCACTGAAGTGGTGACCTGGAAGGGTGTATTCTTGTGCTCAGCTCCTCCTACACTCTGCTTCTTAGCTACCATGGGGTGAGCAGCTTTCCTCCACCATGTCTTTCTGCCAAACTATCTTTCTGCCTATGACCCAGCCAACCATGGACTGAACCCTCCGAAAACCAGGAGCCAAAATAAAGCTGTCTTCCATTAAGTTGTAGGCATCAAGTACTTCGTCCCAGCCACTAGAGAGCTAAGCAACAGACCTGCCAGATGCTGAGTACCTACTATGTGCCAGACACAGGATAGTGCCCTGTAAAAACAGGTCTTGTGATCATCCCCATTCTACAGAGAGGGGAACTGAAGCTCAAAGATCTCAACAAACTTACCCTGGGTCAAACAGCTAGAAAGTGGGTTTGAATTTATTCTACCTCAAAGGTCCTCATGATGAATGGGCAGTTTAGTTGAGCTATGGGACCTTGGAGAAGGCACTTCACCCCTTCAGATCTTAATTTTCCTAATTTTCTTATCTGAAACCTTCACCTCAAGTTCACTGCATGTAGATTGTTGGGGTTTTTTGTTTTTTGTTTTTGGTACCAGGGATCAAATTTGGGACCTTGCACATACCAGGCAGGCAGCAGAAGCACTGAGCTAAATCCCCAGCCCTCACTGCACGTAGATTGTAATTAGGCCTTAAGTGTCAATGCAAGGCCTTGGCTTAGTGCTGCTGATTTGCTCCTGTCTGACACCCCTGTTTTACAGATGAGGAAATCCGGGCCCTGGGAGGGAGCGTGATGGGTCTGCAGCCATACCACAAACAGGTGGCAGAGCCGAGCACCAACTTTTGACTTTGGAGACTGTGCCCTTGAAGACAGGTGGATGTCGGCCCCCAAGGCCCTCACCCAGGCCGAGTTGGACTGGTTCAGCTGGTTGAGCATGACGATGGAGGTACAGCCGTAGTCATAGACCAGCCGCCAGAAGTCAGGCGTGGTACTCTGCAGCGGATGCAGGGTCACGATGAAGGCCGCACTCCGAGTGTAGCTCTGCAGGGAAACAGCATTCAGCAGAGCCCTGTGTGTAACCCCGACGTGAGCTGATGGTCTGCTACATGCTGTCCTCCCACTCAGCCCGCCCTGAGCTGCATAGCTGGACCTGCAGGACCAGGCAGCCTGCGGGCCAATTTCACAGGTTGGTCAGCACACTGATTCCTGAGTGAGAGGGCAGGCTGCCAGCCCGTACTGTCCAAGCACCCGGCCCCCCACAAAGTAAACAGCGAAAGACACTCAAATGTGGAGCCAAGCTTGCTCCCTGCCCCTGTGCCTTTGCATGTAGCATCTCTATTACCTAAACCCAATTTCTTAAATGTCTGCATACTCACTCCTTTGCTTCTTTCTGAACTTTGCTTAACTGTCTGTCTTCACAAAGAGACCCCACCACCACCACCTCATCCAAAGCAGGTACTAACATGCCTTCTGCCTTGTTTTCTGTAGAAATTTCCATGCGTGACATTCCAATTGCATACTTATTTACTAACTGTCTCACCCAACGCCCCAGATGCAAGGCTCAGGAGAGCAGAGATTTCAGGATGTGGCCTCTGGCTGGCACACTGCAGTGTACAGATGAGCCAAGGAAGAGGCTGGGAGGGAGGTCACAGAGCCCCAGGTTCCTTTCCCAAACTCTGCCAACCCCCAGGACCCTCAGCACCCTGGACATCCGAGTGGGAGCAGGCCGGCACTCATACACACACTCAGGCCAGCAGGCCGAGTGACCGCCCCATCTCCACTTCAGGGGTGGAGGCTGCTTCTCCCCTCGCCTTCAGCTCACACCAGGGAGCCCCCTGGGGGACAGGAAAACCCTGGGCATAGAGCGGGAGCCCACCCTCGTGACTGAAACCCCACTGCCCTGTACTGCCCCGCTTAGCGGGGAGGGGGCTTGTCCAGGAACCGGGCCACTGAAGGCCTCCTCCCTCATACCCACTGCAGGGCACCTGCTCCCCCCTCACCCCCACATGGGGCATCCAGTGGTGCTGCTCATGGCCATGTCTCCCCTCGTTCACCTCTCCCCTGGGGATTTGCTCAGCTCAGCCCCTTCCTCTCCCTGCCCCATCCTGCCACCTATGGCAGCCTGTCCCTCATGCAAGGGGTGACAAACTGGCCTGACTGAGGGGCAGAGTCACAGCCAGCCACACAGCCACTCGCCTAAAGCCACATTCTCCAGTGCTGCCTTCCAGATGCTCCCTCAGAGAGAGGGCAGCATCTCAGGCCTCTCAAATCCCACCACCCCTCTCCTGCTCTGCTGGAAAAACTCGGTAAGGAGGTTGGCCCCTTGGGCTGGGACACAAAAAGTGACTTCTAAATGGCTCCTGAGCCTTCAGATCACAGCCAGGTAGGGCCAGGGAGCAAGTCATGATTCCAGGACAGGTCCCAGAGCAGGGTGTGCAGGTTACCCTAGGACCAGCTCCCCTGGCTCCAGTATAAAATCTCAAGTTCCAACCCAAATTCTCAAGGCCTCCCCAGCCAGACCCCCTAAAATCACTCATCTTACTCAGCCAAGGCACTGGGCCTGTTCCTGGAGATAGCCCTGCCTGAACTCCACAGCCCAGACTCCCACTTGGGTTCAGAGCACACAGAGGGAGCACTGGCTTGAAATACCCAGACTAGAAGATCAACTGGGATAGGAAGGTCACCCCATGAGCCTGGTCCCTAGAATGGGCAGTGTCCCCCGACACACACCAGAAACCTTGACCCCTGGGAGGGGGCGTCCCAGAGCCCACAGACCCCGAACTCTCACATCGGTCAGGGCCGCATTGATGTAGTTGTTGGGGTCACCATCGGTAGAGACGAGGAATGGCAGGCAGCGGTCCGGTGGCAGGACGTCCATGCTACGGTTCTTGTCGCGGTTCCGTGGCAGTAGGGCGATGCTGCACTCCTCCATGTCCAGCGGTGGAGTGACCGAGTTCAGCGTCTGCCAGGAATGGGGCAGCATGCGGAAACACATCTGGGGCCTGCTGAGCCTCCTCGCTACCCCAGGAAGGGCACTTACTGTGTTACTAGCTCCAGAGAGAAAGGAGAGATGACAGACCCAGGCTGTCTGTCCTCACACCACACACGGCCTGCGCTGCTACCTTAGGATAAGCTCCTGTCCCTCTCAGCCTCAGTTTCCATCAGCTATAAAGATAGTCTGCCTACTGGGTGGGGCTGATTGGAGCATAAAGCAAGATAACGCTAGACACTGAGCAGAGTCTGGCACACCAAGGTTTAATATGTAGGAGACATAATTTGGGGATGGAGATGCACACCTGTAAACCTAGCACTCTGGCAGGCTGAGGCAGGAGGATTACAAATTCAAGTGCAGCCTGGACAACTTAGCAAGTCCCTGACTATATTTTTTTTTAATATTAAGGGCTTGGGATGTAGCTCAGTGTAAAGACTGTGTTTAATCCCTAATACAAAAAAAAAATATATATATATATAGGAGGCACAGTAAGAACCATTACTGGCTTATCGGTGCTGTCAATGAGACAATCCTCTGAACCCACTTCTGCAGGTACCAGCAGAGGGGTCACTTTCTGAACACAACGCTGGACCTGAACACCTGGCTCTAAACCAAGCCAGTGCTCTGGGCATCTTCTTCGCCCCTCTGCCCTCAGGCCTCATGCATCTAGATCTGTGGGTCTCAGTCTCTTTCTTCTGTTTGGGACCCCTCACAGGGAACTCAAGTCTGTCACGATCCCCAAAGCCCGACACCATTTTGGAGGAGTCACTGGCTGCATCTCTGTGAGATCACCTAACACCAGCCCGAGCACCAGCACCTGTCTTGTCCCACCAAGGGATCCTGGAGTAGAGAGGGCAGCTGGGGTCTCTGGTCATGTCAATGGGGAGGCAACCAAAGCCGGGGCCCATCAGTGAGCTCCATCCCTCCAGCCCGTGACTGGCCTACGGACGGACCCATGAGACTGGTCTAGGGTTTTTATTGTGGGTGTTGGGGGCACCAAGGGTCTCCTAACAAGAAAGATGACATGAGCCTGGCATTGCTGGGGACCAACTATGGGTCTGAGAACAAAGCCAAGAATGGGAGAGCAGGATCAGGAGTGCACAGAGACCAAGGCGGACATCGACATCTGAGCCCCTGGATGCAGCCACAACTGAAGCTGAACCATCATCGCTTAGACTCTGCAGTTCCAGGAGTCATTGAGCTGGCTCTTTTTCACTTCTAACCAAAACCTCCTGGTAAACCCAAACACTGCAAGGCTGATATTAAATACCTTTCTTTTCTGGATAAAAAAACTGAGGCTTAGAGAGGTAAAGTGACTTTCTCAGGCGACTCACAGGTCCTAATTACATAAGGCAGAATCTGAACCCTGGTTTATCTGACTCCAAAGCCCAGGATCTTAACCACTTTGAACACCACCCCCTCCACTGTCTGGAACTCCTTCCTAGTAGTCCAACTTTGTCCGTCCAACTGTATCTCAGCCTGGTCATTCCTGCTTGGCTCCCAGTGGCCACAGTATTGAGGAGTCCCAGCACACACGTGCATGTGTGCATACACACACACACACACACACACACACACACACACACACACTCACTCATTCCCCCCACCTGGAATTCTTCCCGCAGCTGGGAAGAATTACTCTGAGGGTCAATGCGGATCATCTCCCTGTAGGTAGCCTTGAACTCATTGACAGGGATGGTGGTCTCCCCACATAGACAAGCCTCCAGGATTGCATCGTGGATGAAGATGTACTGCTCCTGAAGCAGGAGAGGAGAATATGAGGATGAGGTAGGGACTGGGAGCTGGCAATCTGTAGGGCAGAGGTACATGGGCAAGCTCAAGGTCAAAGCAGGAGGACTCAAGGTGAGGCCCGACCCTTCTTGGAAGCAACCTCCATGGACAAGTTAGCTCATCTCATACTACATCCCTAAAACATCCCCAGGAGACACTCTGTGAGGTGACAGGACGGCCCCAGGTCGTAGATCAAGCGAGCATACAAACCAAGGCACAGCCTGACTGCAGAACCCACTGCTCTTTGACCTTACCCAGCACACCATCACAGGGCTAGAGTTGGGACGATCCCAAGAGACCGGAAGCCCAAGGTCACAGAAGATGCCAGGGAAGGGAAGAGCCTAAGGACACCCTTCAGACACACTCTACCACTCTGAGCTCCTCACAAGAAATCAGAGTCCTAGAGGGAGTGGGGGCACAGGGTGGGGTCCCTGTACCTCTGTCTGGATCATGTTCACACGCCGGGAGCAGAGGGTCTTCACACAGTTGTAAATGTCCACGACGCCCTCACACTCTGCCATGTCCAGCATCACATCCAGGACAATGTAGCAGCCTGTGCGGCCGGTGCCCGCGCTGGGGACAGAGAGGCCCAGCCCACATTAGAGCCCAGGACCCAGGAGAAGAGGAGAGGGGGACCAGGAACCTATCCGTATCTACGATACACAGGGGCCAGGGACACACAGGGGCAGTAAACGGGCCGCTGGGAGAGTTCTGGTGACATGTGACCAAGGACAGAGCTGGAGATGGGCCTCAGGGAAGGAGAGGAGGGAAGGGGGAAGGGAGAATGCTGGTGTAAAGCTGCGCGCACTTAGCAACTGAGTCTGGGGGTCAGGGACAAAGATGGTGTTCAGAACTCAGTCCAAAACTGTTCCTTCCTCCTGCACATCCTTCGAAACCCCACACACTCACACCAATTCATACACTCAGTGACGGGGTGCCTCCAAGGGTTCCGGGCAGGTGTCATTCTTTTGAGCTCCCAGAGCAACCTGGCAGGCTTTTATTAAAACACTTCCTGCTGTGTGGCACTGGGTATGTGGCTGTCTCCCTGACCCCACTCAGAGCTCATCGAGAGCTGGGCTGTGTTAGAGACAACTCTATGACACACTCGTTCAGCACCTGGTTGAGCAGAGTTAAGGGGGAGGGGGAGTGGTCAAAGACAGCACCCCGATTCCAGGCTTGAAGATGGCATTGGGGATGTATAGCAACAGAACATCCCAGACACTGTGCATGAAGGCTTCAAAAAACTGACAGTGTCTGCTGAGGCTGGATGGTCACAGACAACAGTTCTACTCCTACGTGTGTACCCACAGGAATGTGTGCATGTCTGGGCCAAAACACACGCACAGCAACAGAACCCCAGACACTGTGCATGAAGGCTTCAAAAAACTGACAGTGTCTGCTGAGGCTGGATGGTCACAGACAACAGTTCTACTCCTACGTGTGTACCCACAGGAATGTGTGCATGTCTGGGCCAAAACACACGCACTGCTGTTTTATTTTAGCACCAGCTCAAAACTAGAAACATCCCAAATGCCCTTCAACAGCAGAATGCACAAACATATTGTAGTTTATTCACCCATTGGAAGATGAGTGGAAGATGACACAATATGGATAAACCTTATAAACATACGGGTGAGGGAAGGAAATCAGGCAGCAAAGTATAAATGCTGAGGGATTCTATTTATGCAAAGTTCAAAACCAGGCAAGACTGGCCAGTAATTCCAGGACTGGAGAGGCTGAGACAGGAGAAGGGTTACCAAGAGTTTGAGATCAGTCTGGGCTACAAAGTGATTTCAAGGTTAGTCTAGGGCCGGGAATTTAGCTCAGTGGTTCCGCCGCCTGCCTCGCAAGCGCAAAGTCCTGAGTTCAATCCCCGGTACCAAAAAAAAAAAAGAATGCCTTCAAGGTTAGTCTGGGCTACTTAGTGAGACCTTGTCGCAAAAAAAAGCAGGCAAGACTGTAGTTTCAAAGTCAGGACAGTGATTGTTCTGGGAAGGGGGACATTCCGGAACTCAGTAAGTTAAGGGGGACCCTGGACTCTGTTGATGTTCTGTTTCTTGATCTCAGCAGAGCTACGGCTGTGTACATTTATGAAAATCCATAGTTAACCCACACTTACTTTTTGTGATTTAAGTATACTTGAAGTATATTATATATCAATGAAGCTTTTATTTTCAGAAGATGGGATCTCAAAGAGACCTGAAGAAATCAAAGAACAGATGGCTTGGAGGTGGCAGGGCAGACAGAAGACTTGAGTCTGCTGTGTGGGGAGATGGGAAGCTAATAAAAATCCAGGTAGAGGAGTCAGGACAAGCCACAGAGGCTATGACCTTGCAGGCCCGGATGACTTGCTAAAGCCCAAGGTGACAGATTAAGCTCTCCAGGGGAAGAAAGGCAAGAGGAGGATGTGGAAGCAGGGAGAAAGCCCAGCAGAGAGAGGAAGGGCAACTGGGATCACAGGAACCAATCCAGGAAAGAGCTGCAAAGGGTGTTAAAGTCAAGGGACAGACCAGGACCACTGGATGTGGGGAGGAATAGGTGACATCCTTCCCAGCCCTGGGCCTAAATCTAGCACACAGGTGTGCAACGGACATCACTAATCAAAAGCTCCTAGACTGGATGTGCCTGGTGCCTCACCCATCCCAAGGCCCCCCTCCAGGGCTCAATCCTGCTCAGCATCTGGGCCAGGGGTGCCATTGGGCTCCAGGAGCCCATGTGGCACCAACATCAGAGCCAAAGCTTAAGGGAAAAAGGGCCTTTGTGTGTCACTTTCTCCTGTCCCATCTCCAAGCAGGCTGAGCCCAGACAAGTCCACCTTAGGGAATCAGAACCTGCCCCATTCCAGTCCGCCTCCCTGGGGTTCCAGTACTCCCACCTGCAGTGGATGACCACGGGCCCAGCATCCGGGGGTGTGGAGGCCTTGACACGCCGGATGAAGGCCAGCAGCCCAGTGGCATGGTAGGGGACACCATGCTCTGGCCATGCTGTGAAGTGGAACTGGCGGACCTCGTGCCGGGCAGAGTAGCCTCTCTGGGGACACAACAATAATAGTCAGTGTCACTGGCAGCATCTATTAGACATCTGCTGTGTGCCAGGCACTGTGGTGAGCATCTCACTGTTTATTTTCTGGTGAGGTTTATTAGTGGTGAAGTAGAGATAAACGTCCACAGTAGCAGGGAGAAAACCAAGGCCCAGCAAGGAGAAGCCACTTTCCTAAAGCTGGAAAGAAAGACACTATGGAGGACTTGGACAGGGGTATGCCTGGTGCTCAAACCTATGCCCCTGAATGGCGCTGGCAGATCACTGTGACTCTCTGGGCCTTAGTTTCAATGGGGAAGCTTCCTCCTCTGAAGATCTTACAGAGTCATCAAAAGGTTCCTGGACTGGACCAGCCAGCCACTGACCACCGTGGCCTCTGACATCTGACGTAACCACTCTGAGCCTCACTTGTTTTATCTGTTTAATGGGACTAAGGAGGGCTAGGGGCGTAGCTCCCTGGTAGAGTACTTGCCTAGCACCCACAAGGCTCTGGGTTCCATCCCCAGCACCACCACCAAAAAAAAAAAAGGGGAGAGAGAGAGAGAGAGAGAGAGAGAGAGAGGGAAATAATGGTAAACATCTAACCCATGGAGTGAAACAATATCTGTGGTGGGCTCAGCATGGTCCCTTGCACAGAAGGAGCCACTACCTCGGAGCCACTGTCACTCACTAGCTTCACTGTCTCAAATTCCTTTTGCAGTCACCAGTAGACAGTTACCTCCCACCCTTCCTGGGGGCTCCCAGCAAGCCCTTTCCAAGCGGTTTCCTTACCAAGGCAGGTAATGTTCTTCCTTGCCCCTCATACTCCCTGGATGGGGAGGCAGGGTGGCACTGTGGGCAACAGGAGTGGGGGACTCACCCGCTCCAGGGCAAAGGTGCGCACAACATACTCGGCCAATGTTTCTGTCTTCATCAGTGTGATCTTGATGTCCCCATACATGTCTGAGTCCTCTGGCCAGTACCGTGAGCACTTCACCTGCAGCCCCCACAAGCCCAGACTCAGTGGGTTCTTCACATCCGCCAGGGACCGCCCTGCCCCCAGTAACCCCCCAGACCTGCTTACCCTGCCCACCTCTACCAGCTTGGTGATCATGACGATGCTGGAGCAGTGCTCCTGCCACACCATGCGCCAGAAATCGTAGATCATCTCGGGCTTCGGCCCTGCGGGCACAGACAGCCACCTGTCCCTTAGCAAGCTCTCTGCCCAGGGCCAGCAGGCCCATGGCCCAGCACCACCACCCCAGACTAGGAGGCTCTCTGGGCCTCCATGGAGGCTCTACGCTCACCCCACATTCACCCCAACTGCCAATTCATGCCTGCAGGGCCTTGGGGTGAGCAGTACCAGGGAGAGACCAGTCATGCTGAGTGGGATCCAGGAAGCAGAGCTGGAGGGCAGATTCCCAGGCCATGAGGTAAGTATCCAAGAAGGATGGATGGATGGATGGATAGTTGGGGGAAGAGACACAGCCAGGTGGGACCCAGGTTTCCACTAAATGAGAAGCAGAACCCACTCTCTTGAAGACAGGGCCTGGCTACCCGTTTTGCACACACAACTGTGGGGACAGGTGGACCAGGGCTCCATGAAGGGACTGATTACATTAGGAGACACAAACACAGAGAGGGCACAAAAACTGACAGCCAGATGCCGAGAGAGTGGGGATCAGAGAGACAGATGGGAAGGTAGACAGGGAACCAAGCAGGACACCAGGGAAGGGAGATGGCAGGCAGCTTGCATTGCAGCACATGGGAAGTGCCCCGGGCAGCGGGGCCAGGTACCTTGAGTGGCTATGAAGTGATTTGATCTGTGATAACCCTAGAACAGAAGAAGAGGGAGTGGTGAGACTCTCCCCGCCCCCTGCAGAGCAGCCTCTCGCCCCCTCAGCCCTCCTTTTTTCTCCTCTCCTGAAGCAGCACTTCCCCCATGCCAAGGCACTGCCCAACTTTGTACCTAGGCCAACTAAACAAGACGACTTTATCCTCCCAGTCCCCAAGGAAGGAGGAAAATGTAGCTGGGACACCAGCGTCTTGCTGTGTGATCCTAGGAAGGACACAACGCCCTTGTGGGTCTATAGGACTTCCCCATCCATAAAAAAGGGAGAGGACAGTTAGCTATCTCCTCATATCGAGGGTGCTGTTTGGAGACAAATAAAGCTGAGGGCCCTGCCCTGTCCCCAGAGTCTCAGAAGTCTTAACCCGCCCCGGCCCACGCGTGAGATAATCAGAGCTTGTCAGCTCTCCCAGGCCCTCTTGAACCAATGAGAATGGACAGTACCCTTCCTCACTATCTCAGCCCCCCAGAGTTCGAGGGCCTAGATGAAGGCTTCAGGGTAGAAGTAAATGCCCCTTAGATAAAATTTTCAAATCCTTTAAATCTATTACAATGATGATTATGCACTTTCTGAGACCCTGTCCCAGTCACATACTGTGCTAAGCACTTTACCTGCATTGTCTTGCAAAAACCAGAGGTCAAGAGCTACTTCCTCCTCCATCTCCAGAGCCTCCAGGCTGAGGAGAAAGCCAACCCTGGCCCCAGGACCACAGCCACCCTGATGTCCCCCACAATGCCTCCTTTTCTGGGACAAACAGCCCACCAGACACCCAGAGCATCAAAGCGGGCAGCATGGAAAGGGGAAGAAGTATGACAAGGACAGTGCAAGAGAAAACCGTCCAGCTCTACCCCTGGCCTTGAGGTCATGCCCTCAACTCAGCTCTCTGCAACTCCTCTGGCTCCCTGGGCTTCCCAGGCTCAAAGAGCACTGGAGCCAGACTACCAGGGTTCAAATCTCAGCTCCACCTCCTGCTGGCTGTGTCACTTAAGCCAATACATCCGCGCTTCTCTAGGCCTCCATTTTCACATCTATAAAGTGGAATAATGGCAGTATTTACCTCGAGGGCTATTGTGAGGAGTAAATTAAGTAACATAAGTTGAGAGTCACTATGTCAAGCACAAAGTCAGTATTTAATAGTAGCTATTATTACTACCATTTTAAAGGTTCGGCAGTGCCTCTGAAGATTCAAATGGTATCGATGTTGAGAGTTGTTGGGAAGGGGGTGATATATTATGAGTATTATAATATGTCTCGGAATCTAATGAACCTAGATCCCTGTCTCAGCTCTGCCAAGGAGTAACTGTGTGATCTGGAGCAGTGAGAAGGTGCTTCTCAGCCTTTCATGTGCACAGGAATCTCCTGAGACCTTGGTGAAAGTCACAGTGGGACTCTCGGAAGGTCTGGAGTGAGGCTTGGGATTGTTGGTTTTCAACCAGCTGCCTGGGGTAGTGCTGTTGCTGCCAGGCTTCAAACACATGGAGTAAGAGGCCAGGCTCTTGGCCTTGCTAAGCCTGTTTTCCTCTGCAGAATGAGGACCACGGGCAAGACCTGTGCTCAGAAATTCACTTGTTACCTACCTACCTGCCACAACCATGAAAAGAAGCAAAGCACAGTCAGAGTGACTAACAATGACAAGTCTCCAGGGCCACTCAGCCTTCACTGCAGGGAGCCCTAGCAGGTCTGGCCTAATTCCTTCCCGCTGTTGCTCCAAGCCACTGTCTCTGTGTCAAGTCCTCAACAGAGCTGCAGGGCGACCAGTCAGAGGGATGGCGAAGGCAGAGGACCGGGTGGGCCTATTACAGGCGCTGCGGGTGGCTGTGTCCCCACCCCCAGCCAGGTCAAGCTGGACCTAAATCACCCCATCTAAACCCAGTGAGCGAAGAATCCCACCCGGGAGCAGGCACCTCATGTGATTCAAATAACGGAGGAGTGGAACTCAATTAAAAATGGGTCAACTGGGCTGTGGGTGTAGCTCAGGGGTACAGCACTTGCCTAATCTGCATGAGGCACCGGGTTCCATCCCAGGACTACGGCTGTGGGGGGTGGAGGGGGGCGCTGGCCATTTTGCCCAGTGCCCAGCTGGTCTAAAATTAGGTTCCATTCGCAAATATTTTTGCTTTATTCCAGTGTCCTATTGTTTTGTTGTCTGGAGGCATCATTCTGGAGAAAGTATAATCCAGGGTCATACAACCTGTTTTTCTCACAACCCTTTTAGAAGCAAGTGCTTAAGCAGACAACCTTCAGTGGCTACACATTAACATGTTAAATATATACATGTGTTGCTGTATGATCATGTGACATAGAGGACATGAATAAAAGCCCAAAATAAATTTTTTTTTGGTACCAGGAATCCAACTCAGGACCTTGTGCATGCAAGGCAGGCCGGGGAACCACTGAGCTAAGTTCCTGGCCCCTAAAATGATTTGATTTTAAAGGAAGGTGAGTAATCCTCTTGCTCACCACTGTGGAGACTAGCACTGCCAAGCAGTGGACTTCACACCTCAAGAAGGCTTAGCAGGTTCTAGGAACGTGGTCCTTCCTGGAGTCAGACTGGGTGTGCCAAAACAGACTGGGCACTTGCAAGGTAGGTATCCTGATGCTCCCCAAAACCCACCATTTAGTGTGAAGACCAAGTGCTATGGCTGGATTGCGGCCTTGAGCAAGTCATTTAACTTTTCGGAGGCTCAATTTCTCACCTGTCAAACACTAGTCACTCTGGTCCCTCCCTTGCAGAGCATGGTAAAGAGGAAATGGAGCGTGTAGGGTGCCTGGCACACAGCAGGTGCTCAATCAGTGGCACGACTGGTAACTGACATTAGAAGAAGCATTAAGCCAAACTTTCTAAGAGTATTTTTTTTCCTTTGTGGCGCTAGGGATGAAACATACCAGGCAAACACTCTACCACTGCGCTGTATCTCCAGCCCACTGTAAGGACATTTGTCTTAACAGTCTGACAACGGGGAACCAAATGGTTGGAATTCAAGAGCCAGCGAGAGCGAGCGGGTATGCGTGGAAAGTGAGAGGCAGACACGTAATGACCTGTATTCATCACACCCTACAGGGGGCACTAGGGATGAACGTATCCGGTGCATCTTGAAAGCCTCATCATCCTTTTAAATTTGAAAACATTACAAACCAACTGTGTAACTGTGCTCAAAATAAGGGATACATCTGGGATAATGGGTCCTTGCTACCAAATGTGACTGTGGGGAGCTTTCACTCTGTATGTTAGTCTCCCCAGGTTGTCTGAAAGTCTGATAATGAACAGAATTTTAGCAATGATTAAAAAAAAAGGCAAGACATATATTTTCAAAGGAAACAGGGAAGCAAAATAGAAAGAGTACCCACAAAATAGCAAAGGATCATACTCATCAAATATTATGAGAATAAGCTATGTATTAAATCAAATCAGAGCCACTACATGAATCAGGGTTTGGTTTTGTTTAATTCTTAAAAGGTCTGAAGATAGCACAGTTTCTTCCACAGCACAAATTTTTTAAAGTGAGTATCTAAACTGTTCCCCCCCAAAAAAAATTCAAATTAGGGCTAAATTGAGGGCAAATAGTTTGGGGTTGAGTTTTAAGCAAACTAATCATGAAAAGATTTGACCACCAGGGGAACTAGTTTTAGGGGGTCTGACTGAGGGCTCTGCAGACCTTGACCCCTAAGCAAACAGAGACAGGGCATCCAGGGCAGCTCCCCCACCCTCCTCACCAAGGGTCCTGCTAGTGAGGCTCACTGGTAACGGGGTTACTGGGAGACAAAGGTGACAGCCAGTAGTGGCCAGAGCAGAACAGGGCCAAGGGAAGCCAACATGGCAGCCCCATCTCGAAGAAGTGGAGGATGGGGGCAGTGCTTACAATAGGGACACTGTTGAATCTTCAACTCTGGGCAGCCCCTGGCCAGGCTGCTGAAATGGACGGTTGGTGTTGGGAGCACAAGGAGAGGGGAAAGAGGGCAGAGACCGGAGAGAGAAAGGGAGGGAGGGAAAGAAGGAGGGAGGGAGGAAGGAATTAAGGGAAGGGGAGAGGGAGGGAGGAAGGGAGAGGCAGGCAGAGATAGTGCCATTCAAACAGACAGGAGGAGGAGGAGCAGGGGAAGGAGGAGAAGGGAAAAGAGGAAGAGGAGAAGGGAGAGAGATACTTACTTGGCGGTTTATCCGAATCTTAATGATTCCAGTGAGGGAACAGTATAAAGCAAAAGAGATAGATGTTAGGCCAGAGGTAGATGGAGGTGGACAGGGCACAGGACTGGCCAGAAAGGGCGAGGTGAGCAGAAAGGCAGAGACAGGTGGGCTGGGCCGGGCCAGAGAAGGAGAGTGACTTGTCCCTGCCAGGGCCCAAGAGAAGCCGACTAGGACCTTGATGAGACTGAGGAGAAGCCCACTGTCACCTAAGCTGCCCAAGTCTGCGAGGCCAGACCCAGCCCTTACCCCCACTAAGGGACAGGACAGGAGTTGTGGGAGAAGGCAAGGGATTCTGGGTAACACGGGCTGGCATGTCTGGCCCAGGAGGAAGACAGAAGAGGGAGAGGAGAGATGGTGTCCAGAGTCCCTGACCACCTCAGCTCCCAGGAGTGCCTTGTTCCTCAGGCCTTCGCTCAAGTTGCCCCCACCTTGGTGTCCTTCCCTTTCCTCTCCAGCCAGGGAAGAATTTCCTCTCCTTCCTCCCAGGGAAGCTCGATCCTTGCTTCCTCCAAGCAGCCTGCCACAGCCACCCCTGGCTCTACCACCAACTGGCTGTGTGACGCTGGGAAAGTCGTTTCTCTCTTCTGCCTGGCCTGTGTTTTCCCAATTACTCTGAAATTATTTCGCCTGTATCTATGTTTATCTCTCTCCCCCAATAGAATATATATATTTGAAGAAAGCAGGGACCATGCCTATCTTGTTCACACCCATATTCCTGGTCCCAGGAGCTCAAAATACATTCCATAAATGATGCTCTCTCAAACTCGATTTGCACAGGAAGTGGAGGAGCCTGACCAGCGTCCCTGGGCCCTCCCTGTCCGCTTGCAACCATCACCTCTTCTTGACACCCAAGCCAGGCCTCCTGGCTGCCTCCCTATCTCTGGCCCCTCTCTCCAACCCAGCAATCCTGCTGCTCAGAAGGTGGCCAGATGGCCTGATGGCTAGCAGCAAAGGCTCTGGAGACACAGACAGGCTGAGGTTTGAGTCCTTTCTTTACCATTCACTATGTGACCCAGCACCCTCTGCTTCACTCCCCTGAGCCAGTTTCTCCACCCAGAAAAGGAAGTCAGGACGCAAACTACCTTATTGGGTGACTATAGAGGTTAGATAAAGTGCAATATTGGTTATAAAGTGCTTAGCACAGTGCTTGGCACATAGTATATGCTCAATAGCTGTGCTTTTTTTTTTTCTTTGCAGTACTGGAGATCAAACTCAGAGCCTTTGCACTGAACTATATCTCTAGCCCTTTTTTATTTTGAGATGGGTCTCACTAAATTGCTAAACTGCCCAGACTGGGCTCAAACTTGTGATCCTCTGCCTCCCAGAGTACTGGGATCATAGGCGTGCACCACTTCGGGTGGCTGCGTTACTATGCTCAAAATACCTCTCTGATCACAGTCTAAATATTCTGACAACTCCCTAGCTCCCCTAGGAAAAAGTCCAACTCCTTACCCCGCCATCTGAGGCCTTCCTCCAGCCCCACTCCATCTCTTCAGCTGTAGAGTCCACACTCCAAGCTCATGACCCCTCCCTGAGAAGGGATCCTTCCTCACCTCTGGGCCTCCCTGTCTGCCCTTCGATCTCCTTCCACCTTGCATCTCTCCGGCCAGGCCCAGCCTGCAGGAAGCCCCCCTAAAGGCCACACCCACTTCGCCCTCCCCTTCCTCTGAGCTCCCTGGCACAGAATGCAGATGGGACAGGCGGAACTTGGCCATTTGAACCCTTATTGATTCCCTGATGGGTTTCCGCCCCGCCTGGACAGTGAGCCTGGAGCAGACAGGGCCAGGCCAGCAGAAATGACAGGGGCAAGGCACTCACGTCTATGTAGTTGGCATTAATGTAGTCGGCATTGGGATCTCCCAGCATCGGGTGCAATTTCACTCGGTGCCGATCATCTGTGAACACAGAGCAGGTAGACACGGGCTGGAGCAGGGGGACCAGGTGAGGAAGGCTTTCTAGAGGCTTGGGGTGGAGCAGCCAGGAAAGCTAGAGGCTGAGGCTGACCAGAAGGGTCTGGGCACCATGGGACGCAGGACAGGCCAGAGGTTAGAGTGTGGGCTATGGAGTCAAAGAAGCCCAGGGCATACGCTGTTCGGGCCACCAGCTATGTGTGCTTGGGCAGAGGCTCACTCAAGCCTCAGTTTCCTCATGGTGAGCCTTCTACAAAGGACAACCAATACTACTACAGTCTCCCAGAGTGGCCCAAGCTCCCTTGGGCTGGGTTTCCTCCTTCTGCCCTGGACCCCAGCCTCCTTCCCAGCACTCACAAGCAGGCATCGATCCCTGCCGGCTGCCCTCGAGCTTGTCTTTCTTCTTTGTGGCATCCCAGCCCTCAAAGAAGCTCTGCCGGAAGGGAGAGTGGTCGTCAGCGGTGGAGGGAGATCCCAACACTCTTGGAACCCTTTCCTCTCAACAGGAGTGAGGTGGGCAGCAAGGGGGTGGGGATATGGGAAGGGTCAGGTTGAGGACTGACTGAGCTTGGGGCCTGAGAGAGTGAACCCTGTATCAGTGAGGCATCGGGTTCAAATCTAAAGTCTGTGGGAGGAAGGGAGATGAAAAGAGAGGGTCGGAGCTCACAGACAGTTTAGAATATGAGTGAGGTTCAGAAAAAGGGTCAAACCAGATCTGAATGAAGAAGGAAAAGGGGAGGGTCAGATTCAGATGAAGATAATGGTGGTGTCACTGTCCAGATGGGGTAGGACAGGATCCAGGTCAGAGTTTGAATGGAGCTTAGGATGAGTCAGGGTCAACATCAGACGGGGTTAGGTCAAGGTCAGTGCTGGCGATCAGTTCAAACTAGAGTCCAGATAAGGACAACGGTCAGGACAGAGATGGAGACTGAGAAGACAGCAGATCAGATTTCAAATCGGGACTAGGATGACAGTGAAAAAACAGTAAGTCTGAGATCGGGGTGAGGGTCAAGATCAAAGAGTTAGTTAGAATTGGAGGCTGTCAGGGTAGGGATCCAACTGGGCTGGGCTGAGGACTGCCAGGGTCAGGAGATACAGCTAGGAGGACCCCAGGTGGGGTCGGGCTGGACCGGGACCGTGTGCACCTCGTACTCCTGCTTGAAGCCATAGCCCTCAGCCGTCTTCATCTGGTTGATGTGCTGCAGAAGGTCCGCCACACGCACTGCAGGGTGCAGCTGCCCCGTGTGGTAAGGGGAGCCCTTCCGGCCACACGGACGCCTCGGTGAGCCCCCCAGGAGGCTGCTGGCCTCAGTGACCCCACCGCTGCGCTGGTCTCCTGCAGCCAGAAGAAGGGAGAGGGGTCCTTGACATACCTGTGCCCCAGGCCAAGGGACCCCAGGTGGGCTCAGGATGGAGGGGCAGGGACGGTGGAGTAGACAGGGAGCACAGCCAATGTGTTCACTAGAACCATGCAATCCTGAGCGCCCCTTCCCTCTGCACGCGGTTTCCCATCTATGACATGAGCAGGTCACCCCAGGGCCCATGGCCCTGCCACAGTGATACCCACTCCCCCCGTGCAGTTTCAGCAGAGCCCCTGACAGCGCCTCTGAGGACAGGAGCCACCTGAATAGAAGGGCTTCTCCTGCCTGAGTGGTGCCACTGTCGGCCTTGCAGTGGTCAGGGGGAGGAGGAGGGGCAGCCTGTGATGCCCCACACGCCCCAGTGCCCTCCCCCAGAGCCCCACTCCCTCCCCAGTTCTTCCCCAAGGACACCCTGCTGCCTGGTTCTGGAGGTCAGGGTTGAGGTTGAGAAAGCAGCTGCTGTCCCTCCGCCCTGGCACTCACTACCACTCTCTCACTCAATACTCATCTCCCTCACGTGTCAAGCCTCATATGCCATCGTGGCCTGATGCCCCCGACCCTTAATTTTACAGATGGGAGGCTGAGGTCCAAAGAGCATGACTGGCCTCACGTCACAGTTGCCAAAGTGTGTTCCAGAACACACTAGGTAGGCAAAATGATTGGTATTCTTCTAAAAAGATGAGAAGGAGGATGAGGAGGGGCTCTATGTTTTGAAGGAGTCTGTGAAATTCTGGCATAAACAAAAATAAATAGGTCTCTTCCCTGTAAGACCTCTCAGGGCTTCCAAAATGTTTGTGTGCATTTCAGATCTCCAAGAGATGAATGGAAATAGCGATGCTTCATAAGCCTATTTCACCGTGAAGAGCTCTTTCTGCTTGTTTCCTGAAACATCCTCAAGGGAACACTGAATAATATGGAGAATGAGACAGGTTGCAGAGTCAAACCAATTTCAGATCAAATCCCGTTTCTGTGGGTGACCTTGAGGATATTACTTACCCTCTCTAAACTTCTGCTTTCCCATGTCAAATGCAGATAAAAATGGTTACTACCCAATATATGATAATGTAAATATTAAATAAGCACATGTAAGGCACCCGGCCCAGAGCCTGGCACACAGTGAGCACCTGCACAGGGCAGCTGCTGACGTTATTAGTCATCCCCAAGAAAAGGAAGATGTCCTTAAGGCCCAGCAAACCAAGGTAGCTGGCTGAGAAAGAATCTTGGTGCTATTCCACTGTAAGACCTTGGGCCAGAGCCTGAAAAGTTGATTACAAGGAGCATCCACATCAAACACAAAATTTCAAGAAGGATTTCTGCTGCTCAGAGAACTCAGGGACTCAGTGAGACAGAGGACTCCTGTGCTCTTTGGGGGGTCTGAGCCAACAAAGAGCTCTCCAGATGGATAAAGAGCAAATGAATGAGGTAGAGACTCAAACAGTGCATCCCTGAGACCCTGAAAGGCCAACATCCCTGACACAGACCCACAAGCAGGCACACAATGGGCTCACGATGGTCCAGGACCAGCAAAAGATCCACCTGGTTGAAATCCTAATGAGAAGCCAAAGCCAAGTCCAGGACACGAGACGTTCTGTAAATTAAGACCACCAGAAAAGGATGAGGCCATGTACAATGATGTTCCCAAGAGGACCCTCTTCCTGGGCCCAAGGAAGACAGGTCCCTACTCTCTTTGCCCATGAATTTCCCTATGGCACTTGAGACACAATTCCTAACCCCACACCATCCTTCAACTCCAAGGACCACATTGTCCACAGCTTGTAGCCCCTGGGAGGAAGGAAGGAAAGTGAAAACCAGACCTCGGTTTCAAGATCAACACCTAGCTGTTCTCCCAGGCACTTCCCGTGTCCAACATGAATACAGAACATCTGTGAGCAACCACGGGGGATGGTTAGGGGAGGCTCATGGGACCTTATAGAGAATACTGGGTTTGGAGGCAGAAAAATCTATATTTGAATTCTAACTCAAGTTCCTTAACATCTCTGGGTTTCAGTTTTCTCATCTCAAAGAGAGGATCCATCCAGTGCCCATTTAAAATAAAACTTCATGGCAAACTAAAAACTGAAGGGAGCTTGCTAATCTGATAAAACATTTCTATCCAAAAAAACCCAGAAAACTTTATTCTTATCATTTAAATGTTAGACGTATTCCTTATAAAATGAGGAAAACAAGACAAAGATTGCTATACCTGCTTCTATTTAACACATTCTTGGAAGTTCCAGCCAGTACTATTCAGAAAACAACAGGGAAAACGGATTTTAAAAATGGGAAAGGAGAAACAGAACTGTTGGGGGTTTTTTGTTTTTTGTTTTGGTATCGGGGATAGAATTCAGGACCTTGTGTCTGCAAAGCAGGAATGGAGCCACTGAGCTAAATCCCAGGCCCAGAACTGTTGGTTTTTGTAGATCTTTTCATTGTAGTTGAAAAAAATCTGAAAGATCCTGTAAATAAACTAGAATTCATAAGAAAGTTTATCAAGTATGAATATAAGATCAATATACATACAAAAAAACAACCACATTTCTCCTCATACAAAATTGGTAATATTTAAAAGTGTGCCATTTGCAACAGAAGTTAAAAATAGGAGTTTTTTAAAAAGTGACTTGTGGCTAAGGGTGAAACTCAGTGGTAGACCGCACTAAAAATTAAATAATTAAGTGTGGACTTGGTCTCTAACAAAAGATGTACAGGATTTTATGGAGAAAATTACTGAAAACCAGCCAAGACCCAAATAAATGAGGTGATATATATCATGTTCATGGATGGAAAGACAATTTGATAAGATGTCAGTTCCACCCAAATTGATCTATAGATTCAATACCAATCCGTACAAGGTTTTTCAAGAAACTTCAAAAAAAAAAATGACACAAATTTGTAAGAAAGAGAATGAAGACAAAACAGTAAAAACACCCTTGACAAAGAACAAAGTTGGGACGGCTTCACGGTTCAGATAAGCTGAAACAAAACTAGACAGTGCAATTCTGGCACAGGAATCACCAAATTAACCAAAGAAAAAGAACAGGAGCCAAAAACCAATCCGCGTATACATGGAAACGTGACATACGACAAGGGTGGCACGGCAAATTGGTAGTGAAAGTACAAACCATAAGAAGTGATGCTGGGACAACTGATTATCACTATGAAAAAAAAGAAAATCCTCACTTCAAACCACACACAAAAACTAACTCCAAATGGATAAAGATTTCAATGTGAAATGCAAAATATTAAAAGTTTGAGGAGAAAGCTAAAACCTATGACCCTGGGTCAGGAAGAAATTCTTTAAAGAAAACATAAAAAGTAGACACTGTAAAGAAAAAGACCAATAACTTTGACTATGTTAACTTTTGACTACATTAAAAACTTTCTGTTCATCTAAGACACTATAAATAACCCAGAAAGATGAGTGACGAATTGGAGAAGATATTTGCAATTCATATGTGACAAATGATCATTATCCTAAATATATAAAGAACTCCTAAAAACCACTAAGAAAGCAACAAAAAAACCCAAAAGAAAATTAGGTGAAAGACATGAACAGGCATTTCATGGAAGAAGAGACCTGAATGGCCAATAATGACTTGAAACTGCATTCAACCTCATTAGTAATCAGAGATATGCAAATGAAGCCTATAGGGAATTACCATTTCATAAAAACTACTTTGGCAAAGGGTAGACGGCTGGCAAGTTGTGATCGTGATGCAGAGCAACAAAGTCTTACACACTGCTGCTAGGAGCAAAAACAGGCAAAGCTACTTTGGAAAATAACTTGGCACCATCTTGTTAAATTAAAGAATCACGTAATCCATGTTCCAGCAACTGTACTTTCAGAAACCCACAGCATGGGCATCTTCAGATTCGCCTAAGAATGTTCCCAGCAGCCTCGCTTATGATAACCAGACAACAATCAGATATCACAGCCCCAGATGGCAGAATGGAAAATTGATACAGTCATGCAGTGGAAAAATAGACATCACAGAAAAATCAATAGACTACAGCCGAATATCCACAGGGGCAAATACTAGAAACATGATGTTTGTTTGTTTGTTTTTGTTTTAGGTACCGGATCAAACTCAGGACCTTGTGCTTGCAAGGCAGGCACTGTGCCACACACAGCTAAATCCCCGGCCGCTTAGAAACACGATGTTGAGTTGAAAGACAGAGTGAGATTTCATCTTTATAAAGCCTGAAAATAGGTGAAACTACATAATGCATTCTTTGGAAAAAAAAAAAAGTGTACACATGGGAAAACTACCCCCCAAAGGCAAGAAAATTATAAATGCATATTTGGGGGAATATAGCTGTCTAAGAGGAAGGTAGGGGATATAATGGGGGAGAACCAGCCAATGTTCTAACATACCAGTGGTGTTTGTTGTATTGTTATGACTTTATGATTTTCATAAATATCACATTTTCTTTTATACTCATCAAGACTAACTAGGATAAAAACATGTGGGATGAAAAAATTGATGACACACTTCTAGTGCGTAACAGCTGATTCACTCTGCTCCATAAATCTAAACACAGCACTGCATGACTTACATTATCTCATTTAGGCTTCTCATCAGCGCTGAAGGGAACTTTGTTAACCCCAGAGATGACCTTTATTCCCAATCTAAATAGAGGAAACAGACTTGCTCCAAATCACACAACTGAAAGAGACCAGCACAAGTCTATGTGAAGCCAGGCTGGTCCCTCGTAGCCACTGGATTCCTTCCTCTCACACAGCAGATGCTCAATTAGGGGTGGGGCTGCTCTGATCCCTTCTGATCCAAGAACAGCACCCCCTCGTGACAACTGACACATGCAATCTTGCATTGCTGTTGCAACAGGGGCCCGGCTCCCCTAGCACACAATGCCAACACCCCGAGTGGTTTCTCTGAATCTCCTTGTAGTGCTGGTACACAGCAGGAGCACAATAGATGCTCTGGTTAGGGGTGTACCCAAACTCATCCAATGTGGAGTGGGCCCCAGCGGGACTTGATCCTGTCGGCTCAGGTGGGGAACCCCAAAGCCTGGGAAGAAGCATGGAGCCAAAACTCACCCCTGGGGCTATAGCCTGGTGCATCCATGAAGGACAGGCCCAGCCGCTCATCCTCCTGCAGAGTGCTTTGGTCTGTGAAACTCCGATCTACAGCGCTCATCATGTGGGTCTTCTCCTGGCGGTAGTTGACAGTGGCCTTGGCCATGTTGACCGGCTTCCTGTGAGGGATGGGGGTGGCAGGGATGAGAGGCACAGACACTTGTGCAGGGCTGGGTAGCAACCAGATGTGGGAGATACGGTGCCTTGGGGTCAGGCAGCTGTCCTAGAAACATGTGCAGATACAAAGACGGCTCCACCTCCATCCTTCACTCCCCACGCTGCGGCTCCCACTCAACCCCAAATGGCCGGCAGTGGCAGCCTTGGGCTCGGGCCTTTTCCTAACGCTACTAAGCTCCAAGTTCTTGGTTCCAAGGTCTCAAGAAATGGGAATAAAATTCTCTCTGCGCCTAATTCAGTGTCACAGCAGGCAGACACTATACCCAAGACTAGGAGGAATGCTGGCCAGGCTCCAGGCCCAGGATGCCTCACGCCTCACAGAGAGCTGCCCTGGGAACTCCTTTCTGTCCTGCAGCAGGCATCAGGCCCTGTGGCAGGTCAAGAGTGTGCTCAGTGGTTAGGGAGCCTCTCTGAAAACAGTTAACTCCAGCCTCGGCTCTCGTTTCCCCCAATACCCCTGCGATGGCCCCACATATACCACTCCAGACTTGCAAAGTAATGCACATGGGATCTGTACTCCCCACTGCCCACCTGCCCAGCCTGCTGCTAAGAGCAGAGGAAGTATGACCTGCCCTCCCTCAAGCCTGGCTTCTCTCCTGAGGAACGTGTAGAACAGTGGGAGGGAGGGCAGAGGGAAGCCGGCAAGGAACACAGCTCCATGATCAAGGGGCCAACAATGGGCAAAGAAAATGAGTTGGGGACCTCTGTGGAGGTTGAACAGAGCCCCAGTGGCCCAACCATGGCGAAGGCTCCAGAGGAAAGAGCTGTTCACCTGCTCAGCCCTACACTATGCCAGTGTGGGCAGACATGAGGAAGGACCTCCATGGTATAAGAGCTCAGAGGCATTGACCATCAGTGGGAACAAAGACTCCTGTCTGCCAGCCCTGGACTCAAGGGCTCTCTGGGGCAGGCAAGGACAGGGTGACCCACTGACCCAACCCACCAGGCTCGGACATCGCCCCCACTGTGGCCCAGGTAGGAGCCAAAGACCCCTCTGGGGCCAGGTCAGGAGAAAACTCTGTGACTATGACCTCAGTTGACTTCTTTGAGGTAGAAAGAGAATAGAGAGGATGAGTAGAGTGAGAGTAAAGAAGCAGTAACAGTAACAGAGAGAGATGGGAGGGGCTGGCCAGACACTAGCAAACCATGGGAAGACAGACAGAGGGCCATGGACAGCGGACAGCTGACCACGCTGACAATGGCACCCAAGAGGACCCGTCCCCAAGTGAACGCTGGCTAGAGGGAAGTCTCAGTCTAGAGGGTTCTGTTCCCAGCCCAGGGCTCACAGCACAAACACAAATCAGCCAGACCCACAGGGGACAGAGCCAGGAGGGACCCCTGACCCTGCTGAACTCTGCATAATATCACAGTGAGATGAAGCTGGTGGAATTTAACACAGACATTTTCAAAAGTTCTGCATTTGGATTCAAAAATTATCTGTACAAGGGAGGGAGAACCGCCCTGTCAGCACATTCTGTAGGGGCCGAGGTGGAGGCTCAGTGCTGGTGGGGGAGGTCTGGGTGCAGAGAAATGATGCTGGAAACTGGAGTGCGAGCAGCTGATCCAGGACAAGTGCAGAGCGGACACCGAGGCTCAGGAAGGGGACACGACTCGCCCAGGAGAATCAGCTGAGCTGCTTACTGACTACCAAATCGATGCTCATGGCCACGACTCGAGGAGGAAGAGGGGACAGGAGAGAGCAGAGAAGGGGCTCCCCCAGGCAGAGGCGGCCACAGAGAAAGGGCTGACACTAGGCCAGAGCAGGGCGAAGAAGCCCCACCAGAGCGGGTGCCTCACCTCAGGGCCCCGCTCAGGAGCACTACTTACGGGTAGCAGGAGTAGGCGTAGTGGTCCCTCCTGGCAGCGTGCAAAGAGAACAGCACAGTGTGTCTGCAGCCTCCCGGCAAGGTGGGCGAAAAACACCAGCCAGCAGGGACTGCCTGCAACTTCCTGAGCCAGGAAGTGGGCTGGCGAGGGACTGGACAGGTCAAAGTGCCTTCCCTGATCCAGGGGCTGGCTGGGCTTAGCCACTGAGAAGCAGGACCAGAGACCCTTCCAGAACCTCTGTGGAGCCGACTGCTAGAGGGCAAAGGGCCAAGGAGGTGTGCAGCTGTCACATTCATACACGTATGCATACAGACAGAGAAATACACACACACAAACAGTCGCACTCGTGTGTGTTCACACACATATATACACTCATACACGAAACATACACACCGCCGATACTCATACGCACTCAAATGCACACAGACACACACATGCGTGTGTATCCAAACAGCAACACAGTCACACGGAGGTACATTTACAAACACATACAGATGCTCCCACACACAGGGGTTCCTCCACTCCTGGGGCTCCTCTCATCCTTGCAGACAGCCCCCACCCACAAGCTCATACCCACAGGACCCTCTGCCCCTGAGCAGGCAACCCTCTGCGTATACCTGAGCTGGGGGGCGGGGCAGGATGAAGCAGGTCCCTGGACACCCAGGGACAAACCCACCTCCTACCTCAACTGACCCTGGGTGTGGGGTCCGCTAAGGAACAAACCCCACTCTGCCTGTGCAGCCTCACATCACTGCAGCACACCCACAGGGAGAAGCCAGAGCTGGGCTGAGGGTGAGGAGGTACTGGGGACTTCCGGGTAGCAACGGCATCTCCTAATGAGGCTCTGACAGCACCTCTGGCCCCGCTTTCCTGGCCAAATGCTCTCTGTGCTTCAGTGAGGGGCCCCCCACGAAACAATCCTCACTGTTTGAGGGCACATTAAACCTGCAATCCCCACACAGCTCTCTCCCTCCCCATCCTACCCCACTTACAGTACTCACCTCCCAGGCTCCCTGCTGGTAAGAAGTACAGGGCCTTGCCAGGTGCAGGCTGCCTACTACGACACCCTCAAAGTCAGGCCTGAGTTCAGATCAAGCGCTGCCATGGAGCCGAGTGACACGGGAAAACTACAGTTCCTTCGACAGTTTAGAAGAGACTGAGATCTGCTTCATTTGCCAGCATCCCAGAAAGAAGTGTTCTCTGACGTATTGCAGAGAAGTGCCTGGCATGTTATAGGTGCTCACAGCTAACGGACTAATGGATGGTGTGTGCAAAGGCTCCCGGCACATAGTAATTACTCATTAAATGATAATTAAAAACATTTTGTCTCATGAAGCTGTGCAGAGCCCAGGGAAGGGAAAAACTGGAGCCTAAGGCTCTGGATAGGCCATCCCCACCCCACCCCCATTCCACTGGCACATCCACCCCCAGACTCCCTCTCCTGCTGGTGCCTGGCCTCACACAAGGTGGCCCTTGCCAGCTTTCTGTCATCTCCCTGGATCCTACTTATCTGCTCCTGGCAGCCTAGGGAACTGGCGCCAAGTCACCCATGTGTGCCCAGCCTGGCAGCAGCAGGAGCAAAGGAAGCCAGACCCAGGTGGGGAGAGACAATGAATCTGGCTGTGCCTCTGGCTCCCGGTGACCTTAGATAGGCCTGCTACCCCCTCTGGGGCTCAGCAGCCCAATACCTCAATTAAGGTGCTCAGATCACAGTGTTCCAGGCTGCCAGGAATGGAACGAGGTAAAGGGTGGGGTCAAGAGCCCTTAACCCGCCTCCAACCAGAGCTGCTGCTCAGCCTACACGCACTTCATGTACTGGGCTCCCAGGAGAGTGTTTTGTTTGGTTTTGTTCATTTTGAAGACAGGTTTTGTTGCTTTAAAAAGATTTAAAATCACTGGACTAGGTGTCCTTAAACTACCCAGCAGCGCTCTCATTCTGGGGCTCTGAGCCTGTACAATTCTAAAATCTGGGATTCCTAGAATCCTAAATCCTAGATTTCCTGTACTCCAAGATTCTAAGTTCTGCTAGGATTCAGGCTGCCCTCTCATAGTGCACTAAGAGACACCTACCTAACATGAAGATGAGTCTGCACCTTGGACACCTGGGACCTCTGAGGGGAAAGGGCGGTCATTCAGGCCCAAGAGGACTCCCCGGTGATCTACAGCAGCAGGGTCCAGGACAAGCTGAGGGGGTCGGGGGAACTAGGAGAGCCATGGCTCGGGCCTATTGGTGAGCAGGGGAATGAGCAGCACAGCCCTGGTCAGACCAACTACACAATCACATGTTCGGGGCAGACAAATGCAGGGGACTGAGGGTTCAAAGTCGGGTCACCTCACATCTTCCCTACTGGAACAGCTCCCACGGGCACAGAGGAGCAGGGCCCACTTCCAGCATGGCTCCCTGGCATGGCACCGGGCACCAAGCACCTCCGCTGGACAGTAAGCAGCACCCGGCAGCCAGACCTGCACTCCAGCCATGCTGCTCCAGGGCAGCTTCATTTGCTGAATCTCTGGCTTCCTACCGCCGCCCATCCTGGTCCTTGCACAGGCCCAACGCCCAGGCTGGCAGCCCTCCACACACCCAGCCGGCAGCTGCCCCGACCAGTCACAGCCACCAACCGCACTTCTCTGTGCCCACTGGGCCTCTGGGGCCCAGAAGTCACTGATGGGCCAGGGCACAGGCCTCACTTACCCCTTTCGAATGATAATAATGATAGCCCCCAGGAGCAGGATAAGGACTGCAAGCCCCCCTGCACAGATGCCCAGGATGAGCCCCATCTCCTCCGATTTCTGGGACACCTCCAGGGGCCGCTTGCTTTCCTTGCAGGCAGCTGAGGAGAACAAAGCAAAACAAAGGGTCAGAAGGGAGAGAGGAAAGATCCAGCCCTACCTGCACCCAAGGAACAGAGTGGGCAGCACAGACACCCGCCGTGGCCCATCCTCCCAGCACCGTCCTGCCTTTGGATCAGATCTATCCCTCCCCGTCCCTTCCGCCTTCTGCATTTCAGTTCAGTCTTTGCCTACCCACATCGGGAGTAGCCTCCTCCCTCCCTCCTTCCTCAAACGCTCCACATCCTTTACTCGGAGGGCTGGGCTCCGTGTTAGAGCAATTGCCTAGCATGTGCGAAGCCCTAGGTCCAATCCCCAGTATGCCCTCCAAGTAAAGTTTCTACACATGGGGATAAAGGATACCTGGGGCCTTCAGACCCACCCTCTCGCCCTCCTTAGAGGTGACAGAGGGAAAAATGCATGATTCAGGTATCACAGAATGGTAACCAAACACATCCCGTGTCTAGAAGAGGGATAATCCCTACACCACAGGCTCCACCCTGTTCCCAGCTCTCTGCTATCACAGACACCAAACCCAGAACCAATGCCCAGTAATCATCACCTTCAATGCCCAACATAATGGCTCCCTCTCCACAGGCCTGTCCCAGGGTCCTACAAGAGCCCCTTCCAGCCTGGAGGAACGGGCTCTTGAGGTGAGGCACAAGGCAGCCAAGAAAGAAAGCCCTGTATGTCCCAGGCCTGTCTGCTGGCCACATGTGCTCCCACAGCCCGGGGTCCTTAGGGGAGCCCTGCACAGGGTAGAAGGAATCCAGTGGGACTTACCTTTCCTGGCAATTCGGATGCAATTGAGCCGGGTCTCCTGGAAGCATAGATGAGAGGCTCAGGGCCACAGAAGGCCTATCACACCCTCCCCAGGGCACGGAACAGGGTTTCTTGGACCTAATCAGGGCTTTGTCTGTCGTGAACTATAACTAAAGACAGTCCACCCAGCAGGAAGGCCTAAGACTGGGGATGTAGGGGACAGAGGGGAAGGGCCTGCAAACAGAGCAGAGCCTTAAGAAAAGGGGATGAGATACAGGCAACAGAGAAACAGCCTAGGAAAGGGGACGGAACCTCAGAAATGAGGGTGGGGTGTAAGTCCAAAGGTCTGGTAAGAAGCCAGGGCAAGACAATCTGCAGGGGAAGGACACTGCAGAAGAAGGTGGCACCTCAGGAGGAGGCAGGGACTGGGAAGGAGACATGGTCTAGGCCCCAAAATGTGAAAGCAGGAACCTGAGAAGGGCTCCTCCAGGAAGAGGGTCCTGAAACAGAAGACAGGGCCTCGGGAAAGAGCAATGACTAGGCTGAGGACCTGGGGAGAAAGGAGTATGGGAAAGAAGCTTCCAGAAGAGGATACTGCTCCGTGGGAAGGAGCCTGGGGCTGGGAGTTAAGATTTCAAGGGAAGAAGGAGGGGCCATAGGAAAGGGAAGGGGCGTGGTATCAAGCCTCTCTGGTCAGGGTGCTCCGAGGTACCCCCATCCCGACCTCCCTCACCACTACCCTGGCCTGTCCCTCACCCCTTTCAGGTGGCTTGCTGCCTGGAAGTAGATGAGGTAGGACTTCCTGGGCTCAAGTGGTGGGTTCCAGAAGCCACGATACGTCTGGTTGTCACCCACCGTGAAGGGCATGGCCTCAGGCAGGCTGCTGGCCGCCAGTTCAGCCCCAAAGTAGTGCACTAGGCCACGAGCCAGAGCTGCCTCGAAGGTCAGAGGCACTGGGAAGCAGTCCTGGCCACCTGGCTCCCGCCGCAGCCTCCTTGGCCGCTCTTCCTCCACAATCACCTGGTACACACTGGACAGGGAGGGGACAACGAAAGTAATCACGGCAGGCTCAAGGACTGGGCAAGCTGTCTGGTCGTGGAGGGCATGGGCCTTGGGGTCAGGCCCACCTGGGGACTAATCTTAACTCTGCCCCTCACTACCTGGGCAAATCACTTAACCTCCCTGGGCCCCAATTTTCTCCTCTGTAAAATGGGAGTGCCTGGGACATAAAGACAAAAGAACAGACAAGTTTAACAAGCAACTAGCGTGTGTTAGTCCTGCGTCTGTTACTAACCAAGGCTGAGGGAATCCCGGCCCTGCTCAATGAAAGGATACCTCGGTGCTCTGCCTGTGCCGACACAGCCCTGAGCAGCTAAAGCTACAAAGGACTCCTCTCTGGGTCTCAGGGCTGCATTCAAGTAACTCACCCACTCAGAAAGTGTTTGCTGAAGGCTGGAGTGCAGCCCAGTGTAGAGCACTTGCCTAGCTTCCATCCAGGGACCCTCTCCCAATAAAGTATTAGCTGCACTCGGATGAAGGCCCCTGTGCTGCACACTGGGGAATCTCAGCTTCCTGAAACCGGCCACTAGTGGGAGAGACGGCCACAAGGTCACACCTAATACACCGAGCCTAATACGCTCCCACCCCTTAGCCAGCCTCTCTGCCTGCAAATCGGAACCGCTGTCTCCGGGCCCAGCCCACCTGCTCTGACTTGTGTTCCCGATTCCAGAAGTCTGCGATTCTGTTTATTTTATCACTCTACTGACAGGGCTTGTGCTGTGAGCGCCTCCAAATCTTCAGTGAAACAAAGCCGAGAGTAAACACGTGAACGCTGACTAATTTAAATATTTCCCAAAACAGTCTCTGTCACATCTCACCGTGTGACACCCCATGCTGACAGTTTTTGCCATGGGAAGCAGAAATGCCATTTCCCCGCTCTCCAGCTGTTACTTCCGAGCTGTTACTCCTGGAGTCAGGAGTGTTGGCCACCAGCCCACTGCATGTCACTAGCCTGTCACAAACACCAGCCCAAGCCCCTCTCAGCTTCCAATTCCCTGCTGGGGTCAGGCCTCTCCCAGCCTCAAGTCCCACAGAGAACCACAATGAACATCAGCCACAGGCAAAGCCTGCCTCGATCTAGAATAATCCCCGTGTGCAGAAAAGGAAACAGAGGCTCAGAGAGGTGAGGGACAGGCCCTGGGTCACAGAGCCGTCTTGCCTCACCCTTGCCTCCGTGTCCCACCTCCACTTCCCCATCCAGCCTTGTCCTCCTCATCTCCGACCAGCCCAGCTCAGGAACCCTCAAGAGGACGGGAAAGGAGGAGAATTCCCCAGCTCCTCCCTGAGCCAGCTGCACAAGGGCCCCAAGGCTCCAACAAAATGCAAAATGCCCTGGGTCTCCCATGAGGGTCTGGAAATCAGTGAGGACACGACTTGCGGTGGTAAACATGGGGGAGACACACAGCAAGTGAGGAGGAAAGCAGGAAGTAGGGGTGAGGAAGTCAGGGTTTGCCTGGGGCCTGTGAGCAAACCCAATCCCACTGAAGGCCACCACCCTCTCCCCAGGGATCACCTCTGCAGAGGGAAACAATAGAACAGTGAGGCAGCGAGGCTCCATGACTTCCAGAAAAGGGACAGTTTTGCAAATACATCTGCTGTCCAAATCCTAGCCCTATCCCTTACAGCTGTGCATCCTTGGGAGCAAGTTATTAGCTCTCTGAGCCGGTTTCCTGTCTGTACCTGGAGTCCCTAGCACAGGGTCTGGCGGACAGTGAGGACGTACACATAATAGTACAAACACTCCCAAACTCTCACACACATATACATATCTCTCACACACATACCTTCACACAGGCCTGCACCTCCATGCCACACATCACACACACACATCTTTATCACAAAGAAAAACCCAGGCTCACCTCTCTCCCACACACTCTACCTCCACTCCAGCACCTTCCATCAGCAAAGGCAGCCTGATGATGTCAGTAGCCCCAGCTTCCTCCCAGGAGAAGGACACAGAGGGGCCCAGCTCTCAGTCACCCAGAGGGAGGCCCTATCTGACAGCTGTCCTAACCCTCTAGAAAGCTCATCCCTGTGTCCACAAGGACAGAGCTGGAAGATACAAGGCCCCCCAGGGTTTCACTTCTCCAAGGTGTCTAAGGGAAGAGCCCCTGGAGAGGCCAGGACAGTCCTTTCTCCAGGACAGACACAGCCACTACCAGAGGGGACTGCTCCATTGCCACAGAGGGGATGACTGCAGGCTTTCCGCCTGCCTAGGATCACAGAATGCCCTCCCGCACTCTGAGCCCTGAGTGGGGAACTAAGGCAGATCAAAGGAGCCAGCCAGGTGGGGGTGCCAGGCCAAAGGAGGGGCCTCTTCCCCAGGGTCCTGGCCTCCCATCCCCACACACAGGCTTCCCTACCTGATGGGTGCACCGCGGCCCTGTGCCGGCCTCAGCAGCACGGTGATGGTGTTCTCAGACTCGCCCAGGGGTGACGGCATGTCGGCATAATCAAAGCTGGGAGCTGGGGAAGGGAACAGGGACACACGTGTGAGCCTGGCCACTGGAGCAGGAAAGCCACTGTCTTTCCCCCTCACACAGTCTTAGTGTCTTGTTCCCTCTGACATGAGCTTCCCTGGCTCCCAACCTTGGGCACCAACCCCTGACCTCAACCCTCTGATTCTACCACCCAGTTTCCTGACCCCGCTGACCGAGTTCTCCCTGGCCCCTGACATGAACTCCTAAATGACACCCTGACCTCAGCAGGGGTCCTCTGTAACCGCTCTGGGCTGCCCCCACCCCTCTACCCACAGAACCCTGGGACTCTAAGCCACCTCCAAGAGGCCAGGATGGGGTCAAGTGAGGCTCACCTGAGATGTTGGTGGTGATCTCGGTGAGTGCCGCCTGGCCGAAGCCTTTGCCTGTGCGGGCTCGCACAGAGAACAGGTAGGTGGTACCTGGATGCAGGTTGGAGAAGACATGGTAGGTCTCATTGCGGAGCTTGGAGATAGTACGCCGAGGGCCTGGCACATTCACCGCTGGATCTGACGATTCAATGCTCTGGTAGCTGATCTGGGGGAAGAATGGGCAGAAAGGTGGGCACGGGGTGGGAAGAGGATCACTGCAGCAGCCTCCCACCCACCAAGTTCCAGGGCAGTCAGGGATGTGGCTGGGCAAAGGGACAAGCTCGGCAGGACCGTGGGTGCCCCTCGGGCCAGGCTTCTGGGAATTTTCACTTCTCTCTCCTGCCCTCAGAGCCCTCTCCTCAGAATGCACGGCACACAGACCCTGGCCACAGGTGAAAGAAACATCCGTCCGCCTCTGCCCTCCTGTCCCTCCCTCTCCACACCATCATAGCAAGGGGAAGACACTCATCCTCCCACCTTCTACCCAGAGCCCCCATTCACCTCGTACTGGGTGATGAGGCCATTAGGTTCCTGGGGCTCCTCCCACTTGAGGAAGATCATGTCCTCCAGTGGTGTGAAGGTCAAGGACTCAGCTGCAATCCCGCCAGGCACTGTAAAAGGAAGGGGCAGGGGGCAGGGAAAGCAGGCTTTGGCTCCAAATACTGGCCTCACCTCTTCCTAGCTGGTTCACTTGGACTACTCAACCTCTGGAACTTCAGTTTCCCCATCTATGAAGTGGGAATGATGTAGCCCTCTCCAGCTGGAACTAAATAATGTGACATACACGAAGCCTCAAGCAGCAGCAATTCCCTAAGGTCCGCTTATTACTGAGTAACCCAAAGGACAGCTGCCAATTTCACTGCTGTGCAGGTCACATTCAACCAAGAGGAAGGTTTTAAATCTCCTACTTTTGGCTCCAGTTGGGTATTTTTCAGAAAACATAGAGGCTTAACCAGAGAAGTGAAAACAGCAATTGCAATTAGGTCATGGATTTTGGGTGGAGACGTTTTCTTGCATAAAAATACTAATCACATAAACAGTACACTGGATGCAGAAAATCTAAGTGAGTTTAAGGAAAATTACAGGCACCACTAATTGCATCATCCAAACATAAATACCATCAAAATTGTAGCATAAACACTTTGAGGCATTGTTTGGTTTTTGCTTTAATGTATACTCTAAGAGCCGCCATAGGAATCTTGTGTAGGAAGAAAACAGTCTCTGGCTGGAAAACACCTTGATAAATCATTGCAGGGAACCTGAAGTCCTCAGGCAGAGAGAGCAGAAGCCAACACACCAACTGAAGATAGCTGAGCTGCTCTGTGTTAAACAGTTCACAAGGCCACTAACCACCCATCCAAATGGTAAAATGAAAAAGACAATTCCCAGTGAATTTGTGAGGACATAAAACAACCACAATTTTCACACATGGCTAGTGGAGTGTAAACTGGTACAACTACTTTGGAAATTGTCAAAAAAAAAAAACCCTAAAACCTGCCTGTCCTACACTTAGGCATAAGCCCATCAGAAATGCATATTTCTACCAAAAAGAATTTTCAAGGATTTTATTTGCACCATTATTCAAAACAATCAAAACTGGAAACAACCCAAATATCCAACAACAGTAAACAGGATAAATAAATGGTCTATCCTTACCATAATGAAATATACAGCAGTAAGAAGGAATTCACTAGGACTTCATACACTATGTAGCCTAGTTTCTCAAGCATAAAAGGAAAAAAAGCAATCCAGGCATCAAAAGAATACTCACATATGACTCTGCTTATGTAAGGTCCAAAACAAAGCAAAAATTAATCTGTGGTTAATGGTCAGGATGAGGGTTAACCTTGGGGGGTAACAGCCAGGAGTAGGGAGCAGGAGGGAGCACAGAAAGGGCTCCAGGGATGCTGGTAATGTTTTTCCTCCTCTGTGTATGGGTTTCTGAAATGTCCCGTCTGGAAATTCATTGAGCTGACCCCCTAAGATAGGAATATTTCTTATAAGTCATACTTCAATGAAATTTTTTAAATATTAAATAATAAGCAGTTACTGAAGTGGGGAAGGAGAAGAGGAAAAAAAAAGAAGACCAACTACCCCAAGCAGGGTGGGGTAAAACAGCCGTAACAACATGGAAGGGTACGGCTCAGGCGTGACACCAGCAGACTTTAAGAACAGGGTGGTCGAGAGCCGGGCATGGTGGCTCACACCTGTAATCCCAGCACTCAGGAGGCTGAGGCAGGAGGATCACTGTGAGTTTGAGACCAGCCTGGGCTACATAGTGAATTCCAGGTCGGTCTCAACTACATAGTAAGACCCTATCTCAAAAAACCAAAAAAAAAAAGGCAAAAAAAGAACAGGGTGGTCGATTGTTCCACCTGAGGATCTCTGCAATGTTTCAGGGTGATACCCTCAGAACTTACTCCCACCCAGAGCCAATGCTCAGCACAGGAAACATTCCCCCAGCCTTGGGTGAGTGGGGTTTTGTGGAGACCAAGGAAGAAACTGAATTTTGCATCTGGGTCAATGCTGCACAAAACAGGAAACCACATATGTAGGCAGCAAGACAAACTGCAAACCAAGGAGCTTAAGGGGACCTGGAGATTGGCAGGAATCTGGGGGAAGGCTCTGGACCCGAACTGGCATGGTGTGTGGCTTAGAATGACAACTCTGGGGAGTGGGGATGTAGCTAAGCGGCAGCGTATGCACTTAGCATGTGTGAGTCCACACATCCGGTATCCAAAAAATTAAAAACTACAAGACGACACTAAAGCCAGGCAGCCGTGTTTGAAACCCAGCCGCATCACCTACCAAGTACAGGTATCTGACCTCATCTGTAAAACAGGGATAGAAACAGTATTCTACCACATAGGGATTGTACTCATTAGTATATGAAAAGCATCCAGAATAATGTCTGTCATACAGAAGTTCTTAGTAACTAACACTCTGACACACGTAGAACACAGTACCCAACAATGACAGAATGCAATTTTTTCAAGTATAATGAAATATTTACCAAAATTCAACCACATGCTGGGCCATAAAGCAAGGATTAAATCTCAAAGGACTAAATTTAGAGAACATACTCTGATACTCTGACCACAGTGGGATTAAGCTAGAAATCAGCAACGAAATGATAGTTAGAAATTCTAATTACTTCAAAACTAAGCAAGGTATTTCAAAACAATTTTTTTTTTTTTATACCAGGGATCAAACCTGGGACCTTCCACTTGTGAGACAGGCGGCAGAAACACTGAGCTAAAACCCTGGCCCTATTCTGAACAATTCTTGAGTCGAAGAAATTGGAACAGAATTAATAAAATATTTAAATCAAATGATAATGAAGATAGGCTATATCAAAACTTAACAGGCCCAGATGTATTGGTGCAGGTTTGTTACCCTGCTTAGCACATGTGAGCCCTGGGTTCGATCTCCAGCACCACAAAAACACTTATAAAATGAAGTCAAAGCAGGGCTCAAATTTACAGCTTCAAATGTATGTATTAGAAACGAAGCCTTCAAATTAATGATCTAAAGAACTCCCATCTCAAAATGCTAAAAGAATAGCAATCAAATCCAAAGATAATATTAAAATAAAATAAAGAATAGAAAGTAAATGTACAATAAAGGAAATCAACAAAACTCCAAGTGGGCTCTTTAGAAAAATTAATAAAATGTATACACCTCTAGAAAGCATAAATAAAAAGAGAGAAATATAAATTAACAATATCAGGAAATCCAGGTATAGTGGTGCATACCTGTAATCCCAGCACTCAGAAGGCTGAGGCAGGAGGATTGCCATGAGTTCAAGGCTAGAGTGGCCTACAGAGTCAGCTTAAGGTCACACTGAACTATATAGCAAGACCCTGTCTCAAAAAGCCAAGAACCTAAAGATATATCAGGAATAAGAAAGTGGATGATATCAGACATTACATAAATATGAGATTGTAAACTTTATTTCAAGACACCTGACTATTTAGGTGAAACGAACAAATTCCTTGAAAAACACAGTCCACTAAAACTGATACAAGAAGAGAAAATCTGAATGTTCCAGTATCTATTCTGCAAATTAAAACTATTTTTAAAAAACGGGGATTTAGCTCAGTGGTACAGCACTTGCCTAGCAAACCTGAGGCCCTGGGTTTGGTCCTCAGCACCAAAAACTTTAATATAATAATAATAATAATAATGTCACAAAGAGAATTCCAGGACCAAATAGCTTCACTGTTGAATTCTTCCAAACATTTAAGGAAAAAACTATACCAATCGGACCTAAAATCTTTCATGAGAATAAAGACTAGCGATCATTATTAACGCAGTTGATTTAATCTTAAGCAAAAACGCCCTAAAGTTCAGTCTGGGACCTGGGGTGTGCGGGAGGCACTGACATCCTTACCGTCCTCGTCAGTCTGAAAGGTGACCTCCTTGCCCTCCTTGCGGCCCTCGGGGTTGGTGAGGACCAGGCGCACATGCACGTTGCGGTAAGGCAACAGGTTCCGGATGGTGTAGCGGCTGGCGCCCCGCTCCATCTTCACACACTCGCGGACGGTCTGGTTGTGGCTGCTGCCCGGGGTGTAGTGGTAGCAAAGGGAAACGGTGTAGGTGTGGCAACGCGTCACGTTGTAACCCAGGGGCTCCCACTGCAGGGTCAGCTGGCGAGCCTGGATCTCAGCGAAAGCCAGGCCTTTGGGGGCCCTCATGGGCTCTGGGGAAATCAGGAGCAGGGAGGTAGGTAGAGAAAAAGCGAAGAGAGAAAGAGGGACGGGAAGACAATCAGTCAGCTGCCAAAAGTCGTCCCTCCTTTGCCCCCAGAGTTCAAGGGACCTGGATTTGAAATGGAAGTAACAGCAAGAGCTTTGGACTCGGCCAGGCCACATCTGAATCGTGCTCTGCTGACCTCGACTGGCAGCCACTGCCCAAATCGCACCACCTCTCTGACCTTAGGAAAAAGCCTCAGAGTCTCTGACAGTGATGGTGTCGCATGCACAGCTTGTGAGACAATGGCTAACACAGTAAGCCCTCAAAAATGTTAGCTGTACCACTTATTCCTAACAGCACAGTTTATTTTCTATTTCAAGATCATTATAGACTACACTGGGCCAGTCTGAATCAAACTTTTGCTGTATTTTTCCACACTTACTGTGAAATGGTTTTAGCAATACAGTTGATACAATAATATATAGAAACCAAAAAGTAATAATAATAATAATAATAAAGAAACCAGGATGGTGGGGGAATGAGAGCCAAAGAGTAGTTAAATAAGCCAGAGAATGATTGGAAAACAGAAACAGAAATGCAGGCCATTATGTTCTGTGTGAAGATCGAAAGATAAAATCCAAATTCAGAAGTGAGTTCCCTGGCTGCCAAAGCAAAAAAGGGAAGTATCTGCTATAAAATAACAATGATGACTGTTAACATTTGGGGAGCTTTGGCTGCATCAGGCATTTTTCTAGAGCTTTAAAACACTTTATCTTCTGGGCATGGTGATGCACACTTGTAATCCCAGCACTTGGGAGTCTGAGGCAGAAGGATCACCGTGAGTCTGAGTCCAGCCTGAACTACATAGTGAGACTCTATCTCAAAAAAAGCTCCTTTCTCTCCTGCACCTGGCTCTATAATGGGGAGCTTTGTAGTCCTGAGTTGTAAGAACCAGCAAAATGTCCCCAGCTCAGGGACTTTAGGATCCTTTCATGAACAAATGAGAAGACAGTGACCACTTGGCAGCTCAAGACAAAGCACAAAACTAAGATCTTCTTTTCTCTGGCTAACGCGCTCAGAATGACTCTTTCAAGGAAGGTACAAAGGGAAATGTTGGCCAGGGTGCTCCTGACTTGGGAGCACATGGGTGACAGTTGTGGCTGCTGGCCCCAAATGCAGCACGATATAAAAGTTTCCACACAGGAGCTCGCGGCTCTCCCTGGGCGGCTCTCCCTGGGCCCAGGCAAGCGGCACCTTCAGTCACCTATGGGCCAGTAGAGATCTCAGAGTCGGCTAGAAGCAAGGTCTACCTCTAGATGGCTCCCTTCTCCCCACACGCAAGCCACCAAGTCCCATCCTGCGAGGACACTAAGGGCCTGGCTCCCCACCACTTAAAGCAAAGGCTCTGGCTGCAAGCCCACTTGCCACACTTGGGTTTTCTCTCCCATTCCGGCTCACAGAGATTTTCCTAGTTTTTTATTTTTACATAGTTCCAGTTTTTATTTTTTTATTAGTACATGTTTGCAGTACAGAATGTTTACATTCCTTACGGGGACCCGGTACAGAAACATAACACATCTTAATTCTTTTTCATCCCCTTCCTCTGCCCTCCTTCCCCTCCATCTCTTGGTCCCCTTTCCTCTTGCAAAAGATCTATCTCCTTATTTCCTATTATCTTTTATTTTGCTTTTTATTTATATTTTGGGTTTCTTATATAAGATAAACTATGTAATGTTAATCTTGTCTGATTATTTCATTTAATATTAGTCTCAAGGTGCATCCATTTTCCTACAAACGACTCGTTTATCCTTCTTTAGGGCAGAGTAGTACTCTATTGTCCCATTTTATTTATCCATTCAGCTGTCTGCTTCCAACATTCACTTTTTATGAATTGTGCTGCTAGAAACATGGATATTCATGTATCACTGTAATTTAATGCCTTTAACTATTTCAGGAAGATACCTAAAATGGGAATGGCTAAACCAAACAGAATTTCTGTGCTTAGTTTTTTGAGGAATCTCTGTACTGATTTACACAGTAGTTGCACTAGTTTATTACACTCCCACCAACAAGGTAGAAGGGTTCCTTTTGCCCCACAGGCTCATCAGTACTTCTTTTTTGTTTGATTTATTGACAATAACCATTGTTTCTGGTTCTTTCAGTGTTGTTTTAATTTGCATTTGTCTAATGACCAGAAATGTTCAACATTTTTTCATGTATCTATTGGCCACTTCTTCTGAGAAGTATCTGTTCACTTCAGGTGCCCATTTTTTTTACTGGGCCTTTTATTTTGGAGGTCCATTTGGGGGGCTCTTTATATATTCTAGGTATTAGTCCTCTGTCTGAGGAATGGCTGGCAAAAACAATTTTCCCATTCTGTAGATTGTCTCTTCACTTTGCTGATTGTTTCCTTTACTATGTGGAAGCTTTTTAATTTGATTTGATTCCATCTGTTGATTCTTAATGTTATTTCTTGTACAACTGAGGTTCAGTTCAGAAAGTCCTTGCCTGTGCCTATGCATTCAAGAGTTTTACCTATTTTATCTCCCACAAGATTGTGTTTCTGTTTTCACATTTAGTTTTTTGATCCATTTTTTTAGTTTACTACATGGTGAGAGATAAGGATCTAGATGCAATCTTCTGCATGTGGACAGCCAGTTTTCCCAGAACCATTTATCAAAGAGATTATCTCTCTTCCTGTGTATGTTTGTCAAAGATCAGATAGATGAATGTGCCTGGGGGTTGTTTATCCACTATTCTGTTCCACTGATCCACAAGACTATTTTCATGCAGTACCATGCTGTTTTTATCACAATAGCTTTATAATATAACTTCAACTTTAGGGTTGCGATGCTTTCTGCTTTGTTCTTATTGCCCAGGATTGCTTTTACTATTATGAGTGTCTTCTGGTTGCATAAGAATTTCAAGACTGTTTTGTCTAGTTCTGTGAGGAATGTTGCCGGTATTATGCATTTTTGTTTGGTTGGTTGGTTGGTTGTTTTGTTTTTTTTTTTTTGAGACAAGGTCTCACTATTTAGTTTAGGATGGGCTTGAATTCACACTATGTAACCCAGGCTGACCTCAAACTCACAGGACTCCTCCTGCCTCGGCCTCCTGAGTGCTGGGTTTATAGGCATGAGCCACCATGCCAAGCCCTGTTATTGGTATTTTGATTAGGACAGCATTAAATCTATGTATCAGTTTTGGAAGTTTGGCCATTTTGACTATATTGGTTCTACCTAACCAGAAAAATGGGATTCTAGTTTCATTTTAACCTATTATCCTTACATGTGTGGAGTGGACAGGGCAGATTTTGTGTGCATTCACTTGCCATGTTGCTCAGGAGTCCTGCTCCACCCTGTGACTCTGGTCCAGGCTGGGCCATGTGCACTGCCTCAGGGAGTCTTTGGGAATCAAGGTATCATTGCTTTGTTTGCATTGGTGAGAGTAGGTCTTGGGACCCTGTCATGCTGCCTACACTATCCTCAGCCCCTGGAATGCCAGCCTGAACTCCTTTCCATTCTTTGAGGTTTGGCAGGAGCACAAGGCTCCCTTGCCCTCCTAAGCATTTAGAGGAAGGGCACAGAAAGTTCAGGGCACACTAGCGGCACAGGCTGAGTAGAGACAATGGCAAACAGGCAGGTGACAATGACAAACAAACAGGCACCTGCAAAGAGCCCTGCAGGTGTCCATCCAAAAGAGCAGCCACTCCTGAGCCCTGGGCAATCACTGGCATGCAGCACCAAGGGCTTAAAGGTTCCAGATCTTTCCAGTTTCCAAGAAAGGCCAGAAATTCATATTTTCACAAGAAATCTCCAGTTTTCTAAATACTGACGACCTACCCAAGTTTCTTAAAACTGCCTTGCAGAGCTCTAGCTAACAACCTGTGACTGCCAGCTTCTTACACGGGCACCTCATCCTCCAACATCTGCGTGACCTTGCATCTGCCTCGCTAGACTTAGAAGTCCTTGATAAAAAGGTCCATTTCCCTCTTCTCTACCTCTCTCCCCAGGCTCAAATTACGTGTCAAATGCAGACTGATATGCGGACTGAAGGGTGTGAATCCACCAGTCTCGGTTTCCAAAAACCATCTGGCACCCAGACACTCTCTTCCGCTGCCAATGCACACTGGAAAAACAGAGCAAAGGGACTCCGAAGCCCCATCCTCTGCATGCCACAGGGCTGTGGACCACTCAGAGATCAGAGGTTGGAATGCACATTAAGGCAAGAAAGGTAACGTTTAACATCGTTAAATGAGCCCCAAATCTGCTGAGTTTCACCATAGTAAGGATGCAAAAGCCAAAACATTCAACTTTATCTCACGAAAGGAAGTGTGGACCTCAGTCAAGTGCAACTAAGTTCACACCCTCTCTCCACCCCTCCTCAGCTCTGTGACTTCAGGCAAGTTGCTTCACCCTCTGAACACTTGTGTCATGCTCCTTGACTGAAAAACTGGAGATAATGATGCCTTCTTCAAAGAGAGTTACATGAGATGCACGCACCAAACTGTCTGGCCTATAGTAATAAATAAACATGTATACGCTAATGTGAGGTCCTAATAGCAGTCCAAATTAGTAAAACCATCTTTTAAAGAATTATTATATCAAGGCCCTTTGTTTAACCACTCCTGATCATTTACCCTCAAGAATAAAACTCAATGGTCAGGCGTGGTGGTGCACGCCTGTAATCCCAGCACTTGGAAGGAAGGCTGAGGCAGGAGGATCACTGTGAGTTCGAGACCAGCCTGGGTTACACAGTGAGTTCCAGGTCAGTCTCAACTATACAGTGAAACCCTGTCTCAAAAAACCCCAAAAATAAATAAATAAATAAATAAATAAATAAAACTCAAGAGAAAGACAAAACAACTATAAACACTAAGTTATTCAACGTAGTATTACTTATAACAATAGGGATCTGGAAACAGACAACCTAGCAATCCAAGGATACTCAATAGATTTCCATAGGCAATAAATACAATTATAGTCAGCACAGTACATGTTACAGCAC